AAATTAAATTTTAAACTATAATAATATAGTACTCTTTCCTTTTCGCGAAAGATGTAGTCTTTTGTTGGTATTTTAAATACTTTTAGAATTATATCTCAATAAAATATATGTCTTTGTAATCATATCTTACCCATCTTTCCAAATTTAATAGTCATCTATACTTCTCTACATCACACTCTCTCGCACTGCACCAATATTCATAACAAATTCGTCTCACCTTCTTCTCTTTCTTTCACCAAGTTCTTTTCGCTTTTTGAATTTTTACGCAGTTTGTCTTTCATTTTTTTTTTCAAATCGACACTGTCCAGACCATCATGTCCAATCTCTTGTTCAATCGACGTCAATCGATTATATTACTTTAAAAATATTTTTTAATCCTGTATTTGTAAAATTTATAATTTATTTTTGTTCATTGGCCAAAAAAACTCAAGACAACCTTGCATACACATGATATATATATATATATATGTATGTATATGTGGGACAGGATGAGGAGGGGGCTGGTGATCCCTTCCCTAATCAATGTGCCATCACTGTACCCCTTAATAGGTGGAGACCGTCGGTGCCAACATATTACCTTTTTTTTCTCTCGGTCCCCATCAATAAGAAAATTAAGAATGCCGACTAACGTCTTCGTTGTCGTTTTCTCCAGACTCTTCTCGCAGGCCCGGCCATGGGGCCCGTTGCCCAGGCCCATTCCTTCTAAGGGCCCATAAGGGCCACAATAATATATATATATATACTTCTATATATTAATATATATATTATTATTATTTTTTTTAGAATGTATAAAATAAAATTTAAATAAAAAATTTATTTTATAATTATTTTTTAATTAAATGATTTTTACATTAATTTTTAAATTATTTATTTGTATGTTTTAGTATGTTTATTTAATGGTATGATTTTATATTTTTTTGTGAATTATGTAAAATTAAAAAGATATGATAGAGTAATATTTTTGTGTTCTTATTATTTTTATTTTTATATTTATATGTTTAAATTTGTATATTTTATTATATTTTTTAATAGTAGTTTTAAAAATTTGTGTATTATATAAACATTGAGTTTGTTTATTTAATCTAAACTTTCTAATTTTTACTGATTATATGTTTCTCTCTCACAAACATTTCATCAAATATTATCTTAATATCAAATTCAAACCAAAATTTTCCTTATACCAATCAAAACAAACAAACCCTTAATAAATATTTTTGTTTGAAAATTTTCTTTTAAAGACTTTTGATTGTTTATAAAAACATTCTTTAAAAAATATTAAATCAAATATATTTTTTAAATTTTTTATGTTATACTAAATATATCACATTAATTTTATATTTATATTTTGATCTTTTAATATATAAAAAAATATTTTATTAATATATTTATATTAAAATATATATATTATATTATTATTATTATTATTATTATTATTATTATTATTATTATATAAGATATATATTTAAATGTCCAATATTTTAATTTTGCCCCGAGCCTAATAAAGGTCAAGAACGGACCTGTTTTCTCGATGAGCAGAATTCAGAATTCAGAAATAAGCAATTTTATATTCTCTAGTTTCATTCATCGAATGTAGAGAAATTGTAAAAAATGAAATTGTGAGAATGCATTATGTTTATTTATTTTATTAAATATGTTTGTACTACTTTCCCCACCCATATTAAATCAAAGTAATAAAGAGGTTATGTAAGGATGCCTCGTAGTGTGGGTGTTGGTGTTTGTACCTCAAGTCATTTGTCACACATGATTCACCTGGTGTGATTTTTTTTTCTTCATTTATAAGATATCAATAACAAATGTTATATACAATTTATTTGGTAGTGATTTAGAAAAAAATTTCTAATTTGATGTTGAATCGGTTAATAAATTTATTAATATTTTCTTTTTTTTCAAGATAAATAATTTTTTTTAATATAGTTTTTTTTTCACACATACATGTTTTTCTTTTTATTTTACTTTTTTTTTGCAATAATTTTTTTTTGTAATTTTATGCAAATGTATATATATATGTTTATTTGCATTTATTAAAGTTGTCAATATAAACTATATGTATACAATAAGATATTAATAAATTATATCATTAATATACTCCATATTAATAATTATATTTTGTGTTTATAACTAATCATTATGGATAAAATATATAAATAGTTATCCAATCATTTATGATAGTATAAATAAAATTTCTTAATTAAAGGTATAAAAATCTTTTATTAATTATTATTTTTCAATATTTTTGTCTGGACAAAATCTGTTTAATTAGAATAAGCCAATTTGTAAATCTATTTTTTATAATAAACAAACAAACCCTAAAAGAACAAAATAATACTCCCTCCATCCCACCTACAAAAATTTATGATAAATATAATTAATAAATAATTAAAAATATATTATTGAAAATAATTAATTTATAATATAAATTATTATAAATTAAGATTAAGATACTTAATTAATTTAATTATAATTAAAATAAATTAAAATTAAAAAAATTTAAATGAGATTAAGATGCGTAATCATTTTTAAAAAAAAATGGTATGAGATGTAGAACGGATAGAAATAGCAACATAAACATGATAGCTAGGTGGGATGGAGGGAGTAATTGTTTTTACATTTGGGTAGTTTGAAATTTATGTTTTGTAGAATTATATAATACGATTGTTGGCACATGTCTCGATTGTTTGATTTGATGGATAAAATTAGTATTGTGTTGATTTGACCTAATTAACATTCTAACTGAAGCATTGCTAGGATAGTTATATATGTGTGATTATTCATGGTTTAATTCTATTCATGTGTATTCGTGAGATTGTGATTTATTTGTCCAATTTTTAATATATATTTTATTTATTTATAAAAATTAAAATTCAACATAAAATATTGATTTTTTTTATTAACGACATAATATTTTATACCTCTCACGTAAAAAAAATAAATTTGAATTAAAACACTGAACAAACAAATCCTTAGTTAAATGTGAATTTGTGTGTTTGGTTTTTGTTTTTACACATTTTTTTAGTATTTATAATTTATTATTTTACATATTCAATTCTTTCCGGCTCAATATTATTTTTATATTAAAAAGTATCATTATTCTATTATACTAAAAGTAATTAATATATACATATCAAAAAATTCATAAATTTTATAAAATATCAATTTTCTTTTACTTGTAAAGCAGCAATATCAAAATTAGCTTACACATTTTATTTATTAATCAATAAAATATTAATCCCTTAGTCTCAACTATCGTGTTCACATTACTGCACATGCAAATATTTAGTAGTAATATAACTAGTAAATAATTAAAAATATATTAAATAAAAATAATACTATATTAACATTAAAATAAATAATTAATTTATTAAAATTTTAAAAATAATAAATTATAAAATTTAAAATTAGATTAAATTGTATAAGTATTTTCTAAAAAAAATAGTACATAAAATGTAAAACTTACATAAATAACAATATAAACACGACACGCGCGACAGGCCGGGGGAGAGTATTTTTGTTTAATCTACTATTAAAAAAAATAATGAATAAATATCTTCCATCAGAATGATGGAGTATAATTTTTTTAAAAAAAAAAAAAATTATATCAATATTTAAAAAAAAAATCTAATGCCAAGTCAACTAAAAAAACACACTAGCATTATTATATACTCTTTTTTTCTGCCCAACCTCTCGTGTCATGTAAATTATAAATAGGAAAAAAATAATAATTTAGAGATGTAATTAGAAAATAATTTATAAATAAAATCATTTCAATATCATATAAATAATTATAAATTAAAATTAATATGATTAATTAGTCTAATAAATATTAAAATTTATAAATTTAAAATTTTAAAATATAATTAAATATTTATTTTTTTTTGTAAAAAAAAATATGAAATTTGAAACAAACTAAAATGGATAATATAGACAAAAAGAAGATATATAATATATTGTCCCCGCATATAATGTGTTGATTCTCTAACAATCAAATAATAATTTGTCTTCCAAAACTTATAAAACGAAGAATTAATCAATTATTTATTTATTTATTTATTAAAAAAATTATTTAAGATATTTTACTTTATTTGTATAAAATTTATGTATTTTAGATCTTTATTTAGAATTAAACATTAGTTTTGAACAAATAAGGTGTTTCGTGCAAATTTTATATTAACACATGAGGTTTCACGCAACAATAAAATATAAAGTGTTTTATGCATTTTTAGTAAAATACAAAAAATGTTATATAATTTACCCATAATATTATTATTATTATTATTATTATTATTATTATTATTATTATTATCTACTTTTATTAAAATTCATGCCTAAGTATATAGGCATAATTTTGGAAGAGGTAGTGTTAAACATCAACTCGTAAAGAGGAAACACCGTAAATAAGAGAGGATCCCGCCAAACATCAGATTATAGGTGGGCCGAGCCCAATATGTAAATCGTCACATCATAGAGGGCCCAAAAGTGTCTCATTTTTAACAGGCAGAACGGGTTTAATAAAGTCAACTGGGCTATTAATTACCATATCAGAAGGCCCAACAAGAAGACAAAGCCCAATTCGAATTCGGACATTACTTAGTGAGAAGTGTATATTAATGTAAATATAAATTTTTTTAAAGTAAAATTAACTATTGAATAACTAAATAGTTTAATTAAAATTATAAATAATTTAAAATGTGATTAAAACTTATAATTATATTTGAGAAAATAACAAATTAAGTAGAACCAATTACTCTGAGAGTAATATAGCAGTAACATTTTAAAAAGTAGTTAATTAATTAAGGGTGTGTTTGTTTGTGGGTTTTACTTTTTTAGTATGGATTTTTCAATAGTAAAAACGAATTTAAATAGATGTTTGATGTGATATAAATAGAAGTTGATTTAATATTTTAAATGTAAAATAAATTTGTAGTATGATATAAAAAAAAGTAATAATAATAATTGTTTGAATGTGAGATTTTTGAAAAAAATAAAATTGAATAGTAAAAATTTGTCATAAACCCACAAAAGAATACAACTAAGTTACTTACAAGTGCTAGCTTGCTAGCTGTTCACTACACCAACACAACACAGCACAAAGAAAGATGTCTGGTTTGCAGGGTATTAGGTTCGACCGGAGGTTACTCAGTACGCACTTTCGAATAGCGGCTATGGTCGCACGTCATATTAAAAAAAAAAAAAAAAAAAAGAAAGATGCCTGCATCCCAAATTCCAAGCAGAACTATGGCTATGACTATGACTAGGACTAGGACTAGGAAAAGGGCTACGACACTCACCAATATATATTACAACATTGTAATAAAGACAGCTGAAAATTATTATTACAATTCACTGTTAACTTGAGTTGAGTTGCCTTAATTAATATTTGCCTGGGGGATTAATTGGGATTGGAATCTTTATCTTTATCTATATCTATATGTATGTATATGTTGGATCATTTAATCAGACGACGAGCGATTCGGGCTGATCGAAGGCGTCGAAGAAATGGGAGTCGAAGTCGATAGGAGTGATGGAGAAGTCCCAATGATCATATTCATCATCCCCTGCAGCCAATGGGTAAAGATTCGAATTTGGATTTGGATTTGAAATGATCTCTGCAACATCTGAAGAATCCTCCTGCAGGCTGCTGCTGCTGTTCGGGATCGTCAATCCGAAATCGTCGACATTGCATTCGGACAGGGAGAAGTAATTGGAGTCGGAGGTGGCCGGGGACAGCAAGAACGGGTCTGGGAAGAAGCTCATTCTCTCGGACTCGGTTTGCGTCGAAGGATACGAATACGGGGATTCGGATTGGGCAATTAATTGCTGCTGATCGGGATTGGGATTAGGATTGTTGACTATAAATGTTGTTGTTTGGGGAGGTTGAGGTTGAGGTTGAGGTTGATTAAGGTTGTTGTTGTTCTTAGAGTGTTTTGGGACGGTGACGCAGGTGTGTTTGCCTTGGTAAGAGATCTCGTAGAGCGACGGATCGTCGTCGCCGCGTTGTACGTGTTTTGTGGCTAGGCACCCTTGCGTGTTCCGGTGCGTGCATCGGTAATATGCCCTGCACCAGTTGTAACAAATTCCATTGTTACAAGATATTTTGAAGTTTACTCGAACAATAATAATAAATAATAAAATATTTGAGAGATACATGGAATTAGGTGAGTGAGTGATTAATGAAATTGTGTAGTTGTATTAATTGATTGATTGAGGGGGAAGTCAAAAGCAGCAACAAGTCTGTCCAAAAATGACATATTCATAATATGAATCTGAATTTGGATCAGATTACGCATTCCATTACCATTCATACTCCTAGCTATTTTCCCAACTTCCATTTGGTACTATTAAAAAATATTGTCCACTAAAAATAGTTTATTTCGATTCCACATGAAATTTTAAATAAATAATATTTTATTGAAAAAATATAACTAGTTTGGAATATTTTTATGAAAATAAATTTTTTTAAAAAAAATATAATAAAGTTAGTGATATCTGTTGTAAATAAATGTTAAATAAAATATAATAATTAAATATTAATGTGTTAACTTTAACAAAATTAATAATGTAATAAATTTAACAAACGAACTATAAAAAAAATAAAAATAAATTTGATAATCGGAGAGTACTTTATTTTTTTTTATTTTTTTTTTTCAAACTTTCAAATATCTTAATAAAAAAAAAAAAAAAAAAAACCCAATCTAAAGCTTCGTCACTAACCTGGGATTAGTACATCCCAAGATGTTCTTCTGTCCGTACTTCCTCCAACTGTACCCATCTTGGAGTTGGGACTCTAACCCTAACCCTGACCCTGTCTTCTCAATTCCCCCAACCTTCACCTGTTTATTCCATTTCTGTAATGTCTTTCTGCAAATCAACAAAACCATCCATCCATCGCTAAGTTAATAATTATACGATTAACCAAAAAATAAATTAATAAACAAAGGCCTTGGGGTCACCTTTTCTTTGGCCTCTGGTTATCGGCGGGCGGCGGGCGGCGGCCGATCTCGTGGCTGAGCGGCGGCGAATTAGGACAGTCGTCAGGATTGATAATCAGTGATTGGGAATTTCTGCCTTGTCCGAGGAAGGCGAGCTGTTTCAATGCGTTGTCGTAGGAAGAGAGTATCTTGTCCAGCAACGCCTGGCAAATCTCCGACGAGACCGCCGGCGGCGGTTTCAGCTGCGTTTTGAGCTGCGCCGCCGTCTCCAACCCCTCCGTCAACAAACTCACCACCGCGTCGGAAATAAAATCGGAATTCGAATTCGAATCGGAATCCCCCATTATATCGACGATCAATGTATATATATAAATCTATATCTTCTGTCAGATTCAGATTCAGACCAGATTCAGGCAGGCAGGTTCTTCCTTAATTGATTTACTGGAAAATCATGTCCGAAACTGAAGAGAGAGAGAGAGTGAGGAGAGAGGAGAAGAGAAAGGGAAATAAAGGGGAAGAAGATAGATGAGCAGATTATAAAGAAGACGTTAATGGAGAGTGGGGTAAGTGCCACAACGAAATAACACTTCTTCCTTCCTATTTATTTATTTATCCATTATATTATTTTTTTGAACAAACTATCAATACATTTTAATTGAACGTTTCAAACAGGGCCACACGGTGCATCTCTTGATTCATTAGTATCTTTGGTAAAATTAATTTGGGTTGGACAAAAAAATAAAATCGAATCCCCTAACCGTTAAATCTAATCGAATTTTCAATTAATCGAACAAATTCAATTTGAATACAAATACTGCATATTTGATATTTGTTCAGTTCGATTCGATTTCGATTTTTTATATTTTTTTCGGTTCGATTAACCGAACCGAATATATTTATATGTTAATATTATTATATTTTCAAATTTATAGTATTAATAATCATATTCGGTTTGATTTCCGTTCGGTTATTTGAAATATTTGTAAATATTTTTATTTAATTAAAATTTTAATTATTTTTTAATATATACTTCCTCCGTTAAGTGTCTATTTTTTTTTTTAAGTAATTATACTATCTACCTAACAAATAGGGTTAATTTAGTCATTTTACTTTTATTTATGCTTTATCCTAATATTCCTAAAACTCCGTACAAAAAGCAAATGAATATATAGATATGAGACGGAGGGAGTATTTTTTTTACCCGAAATTTTCGATTCGGATACTGTTTGTGATTTCGGGTATTTGTTCAATTCGGTTCGAATATCAAATACTTGAGTATTTGCAAATATCGGAACCTTGCCCACCCTTAAAATTAATACTGAATAATTTTTAGAAAATAATGAATATATTTATTTTATTATTTATATAATTTTTTACATGTAATTTTGACCAAAGCGATTTTTTTATAATAATATGAAATGAGACAAACAAAAAAATACAGATACACACAGAGTGCATGAATATTCACTTTTGAGTATTCTACATAAATTTTGTTTGATTGGAAATAAAATTAAAATTGGAAATGCTAATAGAAAATTTGTTACAATTAAAAATTTAGCTCAATAGTCAAAGTACATCGATCACATACTTTACGTAATCTGAATCTGTTACTCACTTAATTATTATTTTATTCTAAAGAAAATGTATAATTAATTATGGTGACAAAAGTTGCTTTCACTAATTCCATCTAGATGCTCATTATTTTACAATTCAATCTTTACCACATTTGGAGTTTCCAATAATTCCATCGACACTTATTATTATTATTATAAATAATGGTGGGGTTATATTTTCTTGATAATTTTTTTTTTTTTTTAAAAATGTTATAAAACATAATTGATGTACTATATGTATGTATATATATGGAAAATATTTATATTAAAGTACAGATGATATATATATACATACATAGTGAATTTTATGCAAGGTATTTAATACTACACAATTTTAAAATTAATATTGAATGATAATTAATGTAAATATGTCGTCTTACAATTAGTGTGAAATGCTAGGTAAACAAAAAATTATGCTCTTTTAAAGAAAAAAATATACACACGTTTTTTCGAAAAAATATTAATATATTACAATTATTCATTATTTTTATATTTCTTACACAATATTTTATGCCTCACATTTAAAAAAAAAAATCCTCTTTCAAATTATCTCACAAAACAAAAATATTGAACAATAAACACAAACCTTAGGTTTTGGCTTTGAATTTTAAATAAAAATTTGGGTTTTGTTAGCATATTTCAAATATTCAAACAGGTTTGTTCTTTTACCAATTCAAATCAAAATTAATACTTTATTATTCACTTAATATAATTTTTAATAAAAATATATTATTTCTTTTTATAAAACATTACATCATAATATTATTTAAACAAAAATTCAAATTCAATTTTAAACCACAGTCTAACAAATCAAAATTTTTGAATTAAAATAATTATTTGATATCGTATAAATAGGTGTTCATGTGTAGTGAATATAAAATCATTTTTTTATATAAGAAAAAAAAAGCAAGAATAGATATTTTATTTGATATTATTTTTTAAACAATAATCTATATTACAAGTTAAATGAAAACCATACAAACAAATAAAGTTGAAGTACATAAAGAATTTAGATCAAATGGAATACGTCTAAGAGAGATAATTTATACATTTCTAAGTTGTGCTTTGAAATTAATTTGAAATGAAATTTTGATTTGAGTTTTTATTTAAATATTATTTTGATATATTATTTTGTTAAATACGTAATATGGCTATTATTAAAAAGTGTGAAAAATAAATAGTTTTGATTTCAATTTAAAATTAAAAAATATTAATATTTAAGATAAAAATTATATTATTTCTAAGAAAAATAATGGGTGTATTTAGGATGTCTTTTCAAAACATATAGTCATCACTATTCCAAGGCAATGTGCCAAAAGTTTTTAACTTATTTTATAAGACAGAAGAAGGGAGTATTTATTTATATCAATTAAACAAAAATATTAATTAAAAAATTAATAAAGCAAAACACTAATACAATAAAAAGTTTTATATATATATAAGAAAAGCAATGGGTCTGTTTGTTCAATGCAATTTTTTCAAATTTTATTATGTGCCCGTTATCTGAAAAAAATATATATTTTTCTTCATAAAATATATCATTAAACATTATTTTAATATCAAATTCAAATCAAATTTTCTCAAACTCAACGAAAAGAAACATACCATTGATTTTCAAAGCATAATCATCACTATTCTTTTACATTAAAATAGATTTTTTCTAAAAACAAATTATATTATAAAGTACTACTATTATTTATATTAATACTTTTAAAATATATTTTTATTTAAAATTTTAAATTATATTCATATATCACATTAAACAATTATTTCAATTATAAAATTATTATTCCCAAACAAAGCAATACAATTAAATACAACTAAATTTTATTGTTGTTCGGTTGTATTTTTTTCTCATATGCTTTCAATATTCATCAATAATAATTATTTTAATATTTTCCTAAAAACATTATATTATATAGTTATATTTTACTTAATATCTCACATATAAACAAAAATATATATATATCATAAATACTTATTTACATCACTTCAAGAAAAAATATTACAATTCAAAATTTTCATTATTCTAAAAACACAAAAACATGTGTGTTTGTTTTGTCTTTTTGTTTGATAATATAAGAAATTTTGTATGTAATATAAAAATAATAAATATGTTTAGCATATTAATATTTTTTAAAAAACTATATAAAAAATAAATTACAAAAGAAAAAAACCAAAAAATACAACCAAAAACCCCATAAATAGAATTTGATTACTTACATGTTTTTGTTTTTTTTCTTTTAGATTTTTTACTATTTAAGACTCATTCATTATTCAAAATATATATATTATTATTTTACTTTCAAACTAATAAAAATATACAAATAGCGAAAAAAAATATACAAATACACAATGGCTTCACCGGACTATATTGAATGAATTGATTCTTTCATACGTGATATTTGAAAATTATGTTAAAGAAATAAAATATATTATTTTAAATTGAATATTTGATTTATAATTTTTTTTTTTACTTTTTGTAATAAATAGTTAAACTTTTTTTTGAATTTGTTTTTTATGTGTAATAAAAGAATTGTGTAAAAATATATAAAATATTATTTTTTGGAAATCATAATTCTGAAAAAACCCTTGGGCAAACAGACCCATTATTTGTTTTCTTTTTCTTCTCTTATATAATCTCAAGCAAAAAAATAAATAAATAAAAATGTTGTAAGTATATATAAAATGAAAATAAAAGGTCCAGTAATAGTAATGCTTATCATTTTAGGTAGTGTAGTTTCTTGCCAAATTTCACAATGCTGTCGTAGCCATAGGTTTTGGAATGGATCAGATTTTATTGAAATATTTGAGAACCGACCGAATATTATAACTAGGAAAGGATCGAACTTTCTTGGAACCAACATTAAATAATTAATATTATTATTATTATTATTATTGCATTGAAGTCAAGGAAATAACGAAGCTTCCGCGAGGCGTACCATACGAATGAGTCAACAATTTCAATCCTGTTTTTCTCTTTTTTTTTTTAAATAAATAGATTTTATATATTTATTTATTCTCCTTGGGGAGGAAGATACAGAAAATAAATAAAATGGGCATGTGATGACGTCATCCGATGACGTCATCTTATGACGTGACGGAAATTTTGGAAATCACCCTTTTCACACTTGTATCATTGTATGTGAATTGCAACAAAGCAGCTTGCCACCGCACATCTAACTATAGTATATTATTTATTTCTATTATTATTATTATTATTATTATTATTATTATTATTATTATTATATTTTTGTATCAGCAAAGTGATAAGGTTTGTACTTTTTCCTTCATTTTTTATTTAATGGAGTAATTTAATAGATAGATTTTTATGTTATTTAAGTAATCTCTCCTGTCCTTTATACCGGTAATATTTTTTATTTAATATTTTTACATATTTTACAAATAAAAAATAATTAATATATTTTTATCTAATCATATTATTTAAATAAAAAAAACAAATATATATATATTTTTTTATCATATTATCTAATTTTTATTTTATTTTACTCATTTAAATTTCCATCGAAATTTAAATACTGTTTCTTATATGCGACGGGTGAAATATTATTTTTAATATATATGCAAAATAAATAATAATAATAATAATAATAATAATAAAAGGATTGAAATTCATTGCCTTAGAAAAAGGGGCTGTATGATTGAGGCGTGTCCCACGTGCTTTAATGGATTTATATATATAAATATATATTATAGATTTATTTGGTTATTGATTAAAATTAATTTATTGTCTATATTCAATAATGTAAAAGTAAATTTACTTATATTAATCTATTTAACTCAATTAGTTTTGCCACTGGTTCAACGTAATCAATGTAATTTTTTATTTAATTAATAAAATGAGAGAATTAGATAATAAAGTTTGAATATTTGATATAATACGATTTCATAAGATAAAATACATATAAAATGTGATGTACTTTTCAAAAATAATATTATAAATAAATAATGACAAAAGTAATTTTTAAATGCATGTAAATATATCCTTATTTTAACATCAAGGCTATTGGATGAGAATGAAACATTTCAGCTTAAGTTACAAAATTATAGCCCATGTTTATATGTATTTGTATTATTTTTCTTATATTTTTTGTTCTGACTCAATATATTATTTTCGTAACTTTTTTTATTTCATTAAAAAATATTAAATTTTAATTATAATAAAAGTAATTATATCTAAATATTAAAATACTTTTAATTTTTACAAAAATATTCATTTATTTGCACTATTAAGAGTAAAGATATCAAAATTATTTTATATATTTCTACTAATTAATAAAATACTATTATTTTTTAATTTATTATAATAATAAAATAAAATAATACATTTAATAATAATATATATTATGTGTGTATATATATACATGATATTCATCACTCATGCATAAAAATACATTATTTAATTTTATTACTTGATTCTATCTCATATAAATAAATAATGTATATTTTTTAAAATTAACAAAAAGACAAAAAAAATTAATTTAAAGAACACACTCATCTATTTTTAAAAAAAACAAAAAAATTATTTGTTGCCTGTTTTTTTTTTCAAAGATAATATATAGTCCATTTTTATTTATTGTAATATTTTAATTGTATAAACAATTTATACAATTAATTATTATTATTATTATTATTATTATTATTATTATTATGATTACACTCATATACACCTACGGACTAGGACCAAACTTTCAAATGAGAAATGTCTCGGCACTTAGATCTAGTATTTATTTAATATTTTAATTTAATGTATTTTTTTTATGTGAAATATGAAAATTGGTTAGATAATATATATTATGTGGATGTGTATGTATTTGGAGTATATTTATTAATATTCAACCAAAATTGAGTTTAACAAAAACAATAATAATAATAATAATAATAATAATAATAATTGGGTGAATAAATTCAAACGATTTATTCTTTTAATTTCTACATAATTTTCAATAAAAGAAATTTATCTATATTTTTCCTTATTAGTTATGTTTAATTTAAAATGCAATAATTTTCATAACACCAAATAAATAAATAAAGATGCGTGAATAATGAATTTAAAAGATTATCACTGAAAATATGATAAGAGCAAGTATAATAAAAATTAAATTGATATAATAATTCATTGGAATTTGGTTTAACGCGTAGAGCTGTCACCATCAAATTGAGATTTTCTGAAATATTGTCAACATTTCATTGTCTTAAAAAAAAATAAAAAATAAAATAGCTTATTAATATATAACGAAATTACGAACCAAATAAAAAGTTAATTTTTTTTTGAAAAAAACAAAAAACCTTCACAATAAATAAATAAAAAGGTAAATATATATATATATATATTTATATATTTAAGTGTGAAAGAGACAAATTGCGAGGAAGCATCTTTGTGCAATTCATTAAGCTATTTGACACCTCACAAAATATTTTCTCACTGACAAATATGACTTGTTTCTGTAATACTATTATAATAATAATTATAATAATATAAATAAACAATTAGCCAACGTTAACGAATTAATTGAAAACAAAAATTGGTTTATCCTTTGATTATATTTTTTGAAGTCTTTTGAATTTTTAATTAAATAATAACTTAAATTAAGAATAAATATTGAATATTGATATTTTGAAATAATATATACTCTTTCTGTTCAAAATATTTATACTGCTTTCATTGTGTACAAAAATTTAATGATACTAGTATTTTAATATGTTCATGGAGTAAATAAAAAAAATTAAAAAAATGGTAATATTACGAAATAATAATTAAAAAAACTAATAGTTTTAGCATAAAAAAGAGTAGTAAATTGATTACTATTAATTAAAATAGGACTAATAAAATTATAAATAAATTATACGTAAATTCAGGCATACAAGTAATAAAAAAATGACATAATTATTCTCGATTAGAAAACTATTTTTTAAATATAAAATAAATAATTTAATTTTTTAAAAGAATTGTGAGCAGCTTAATTAATTAGTTAGTTACAACAATGATTAAATCAATTTTATTATAATACAAACTTTTTTGTCTCATTAAAGCTGAAAATAAATAAACAAGTTAATTAAGTTGGACCAATTCAATAATACTAATTATAATAATAATAATTGTTTTTCTCATTGGCAGGAAAGGAGGATCAGAACGACGTCGTTGCGTATTACACATCAGTCGAGTTCATAGAAATTCCATTCCATACATATACATATATGTGTACGTATATGTGAACTTTGTCGTCAATTAATTAATCACAACGCGTAAGCGGTTATGTCTTTTCTGAGATTTTTTTAATTTAATGATTAAAGAGCCTGTATTAATAAATACGACCTAGTCTATATATTATGATATATGTTTAATTTATATATCATTTTAATTTCATTTGAACCTAAATTTTAAATATAAAGGTTCGACGTGTTTTAGCTTTTCATAATATAAAGAACTACTAGGGTCCTTTTTTCTTTTTTTTTTGGTACCTGTAGAAATAAGTGTTCTCAAGACCTTCTGAAAATTGGACAAAGAGTATGAGACCTATATGTTCTATTAGGTATGTCAATTTGTTATCGTTAAAAAATTACCGTTTGTGGCCTACTCGGGGTTGGGTTTTCCGGATGGATGTGATGAAGGGCTCCCCAACTAGCTTAAGAAAGCTTTCGGGTGAAGTGCCGTGCTTAATATTCGAGATAATAAAAGATTATAAAAAAATAAAATAACAAATGAAATGTGAGACAAGCCAAAATATAAAGATTTAAAATTAAATGAAAGTTGAAATAAGCGTAAAAATAAAGATAAGTTATAATAAAATGCTTGAAGAACATATTGCAACAAACTAGATAGATCAAGAAGAAAGAAGTAAGAATAAAAGTAACCTAGTGTTTGGTTGTGATTGGAGTTTTAAATTATTACTACTCCTTCTGTCCACCGTCTATCTATATGTTTACTTTTTGCACGTAGATTTTAGTATATTAGTATTATATTGATATGTGGTACAATTAATATACATAAAGACCATTATATCCCTTAATATTTATGGTATTAAGTGGTGTTATTTGATGATATTTGTGTAATATTATATAAAGGAGGGTAATTTTATATTTTAGTGGAAGGTGCATTTACTAAACAAAACAAAAATGGATACATTTGCAATGGACAAACTAAAATGACAAAATAGATAGATTGGCGGTGGACGGAGAGAGTATTTATTTTGCATAAATTTTAATAAAATATATAATTTATTTTTATACAAAATATTATATTAAAATATTTAAACAAAAACTTAAATTAAAAATAAATTTCAAACCATAATAAAATAAAATAGGTTTTATTGAACTCTTGGTAAGCTCATTATGATTGTTACTAGTAAATCTTTGCAATCCCAAGCCTTAAAAATTTGAACTTACATTATCAATCCACTTCCTCGTTTTCTTCACAAATTCATCCATTTAAGTCATTTAATTATAGAGTATTATTAATCCTCCACTCCTTATCCATCATAGTATCAATTACTTGTATATTAAAGTTCTTCCCAAGGTGAGGAGGCTATTGTGGCTGTTCGATAGCTCCAGCTTTATGGAGTTTGTTTACTTTAATTTTATTAAATGTAGGGATTGGCCCTTTGGTGATGGCCCATGCGTGCGTGCAGAATTTTATATCATAGTTTTGATTAGTCAAGCACTTTTGAATTAGCAGCTGATAGACTACTGTTGATTGTTCCTTTTGAGTTGATTGCTTCCCGGATATGCCCGGTGTATATGTATTTAACTATTATTATTTTATTTATATATATATAATCCTTGATTTTTCCGATAAAAAAAAAAAAAAAAAGTTCTTGTTGAATTGGGCTGTACTAAAAGGCCCAACTACTAAAGCCCACGTAATCTTTATACCAACTAACTTTAAGGAACACTTCTTTCTTCTTCTTTTTTTTAGTTTTTTTATTTTTATTATTATTATTTTTTTTACCAACTCAAACAAATATATGAATAGAATATGGAAAGAATGTGGTGAGAGTTTTACACATCCAATGATGTGTAAATTTATGTCAACATTTAGCATCTTATTACTTATTCAACATTACCTCTTAAAATTTAAACTACTATTGATAATAAATTATTCAGCATTATATTTTATGATTATCCGCGTAAAAAGATAATTTTTTATAATTATTTCAACATATTTGCATATATTAATATTTTTCTAAATTATATTTTTTTAATATATATATATATCCAACAGCTCAAAATAAAAAAGAAAAAAAATTAAAAATAATAAAAACACCATCACTATATATAATAGACCACTGAATCTGCCTGCAATAACATTCAATGGCTTTATTATTTCGGCACACTAAATATATTAAATAGTATTTATTATATAAAAATGATTAGGTTAATCAAAATGAGTGTTTTAGGAGCGTGTGTTTGTTTTTTTGTTGTTCAACCAAAATCTCTGAATTTCATCTGCTTTCCTGCCTGGAATTCTCCCCGCAATCAATTCCCACCTGAACAACAACAAATTAATTACCAAAATAATTTTTTTTAAAAAAAAATCCATTATTTATTCTCAAAGTATTACTCCCTCGATTCTTTAACAATCTATCTTTTCTCTATTTTGGTTTGTCTATAAAAAGTATTTATTTCTTTTTTCAGTAATGGTAATATCTACTTAACATTACAAATACCCAAATTTATAATATATTACACAAATATCATTACCTTTATATCATACAACACTAATAAGGTTAATTTAGTCTTTTTACTTTTATTTCTACTTTATCCCAATATAATACTAATATTTTTAAAAATCCATGCAAAAAACAAATAGATATATTGATATGAGACGGATGGATTATTATTAATTTCCATCAAATATGAGGGTTTGTTTGTTTAGTGTTTTTATTTAAAATATTTTTTTTTTTTATGTGATATAGAAAAAATTGTGTAAGTAACATAAAAAAATAATACTTTACCTTGAATATTGTTTTTTTTTTTTTTTTTTGTGAGAAGATTGAATATAATATACTCTCTCCATCTTGGTCCAAGAGGGCTCTTTGGAGTTTTGTAATATATTAAAAAATAATACTACCTCCATTCTAAGAGTTTTATTTACTTTTTGTGTTTTAATATTCAAATATTAATTATTATATAAAAACATAGTACAAATTAAGAAAAAATTGCAAAAATATTTTCATTAGTGTCTTATAATACTACAATGACGCAAAAAAGTAAATGTGATCCTTAGAGGCGGACGGAGGAAGTAGTATTTTATGAGCTAGTGGAAGTGTGTAATAAATTTTGATGTTTTTGTAATTTATGTGTAATAGTATGTTTGTAATTGAGGTAACAGTTAAAATATTACTTTTACTAAAATAGAAAATGGATACTTTTGAGTGGAACAGACGAAAATGGTAAAAATGGTACGTTGAGTTAGAACAAATGGAGTATTATATATATTATAAATCGTGTCGAAAAAAAAATAGTTGAAAGAACAAACCCGAATACAATATAAATAAGAGTAAATTATATAACACAATCGTGTTTTGGTATAAACGGATAAAATATATCATATTTCGTGAAATTAAAAAAATTAAAGCTATTTAAATATTTGTATAAACAAAAATAATTTTTCTGCATATTTTAATCTAACATAGAGATATATTTCACGTATAAATAAAAAATAATATATTTTGACATTTATACTAAATACATCGCTTGGCTATCATGTAATTTGTCGTAAAAAATAATACATGACACTTACTTATCTCCCACAAGCTTATGCATTCTGGCAATCATGTCTTCTTCCTCCTCACTCATCTTCCTCCTATTCTCCATATCACTACTAATACTACTTTTTTCTACATAACCAAAAAAACATCAAATTATAAACACCTCAACCCAACTCTACAACAAATTTTAATGTCAATAATTTCATTACCTAGTGAACTTTGAAGCTTCTTCTTGCATTCATCCATGATCCGTCTAGTCTAGTCGGGATTCCGAAGAATGGCGATTTAGTCGACCATGGCCAGTTGAAGAATTTATAGATCCCAAGAGGAGAGTCTATCCGGTCCCCGACTGAAATGGATGACGATGAAGAGAAAAGATGAGAAGATATTCTTACACAACAGGATAGATAGAAAGAAGTCGTGGCCCTACCCCAGTCGAAAGAGACGTTGACCCTATCCTTCCATCAATCACCACTAGAGCTGGTCCTGACTTTCGAGAGGCTCGAAACAAAACAAAAATAAGAAACCTTAAATATATACAAATGAAATTTTTTTACTTATAATAAAATATAAATGATTAAATAAAATAATTTTTTCTAGCACCAACGGTTGAACAGTGATTGCAGGTGCCATGTTATCAAATATATATAGTAAAAAAAAAGTGAAAATCTTAAATCCTATACTTTGAAATTGTGTCTGCTATATTATTGTATACGGGACGGACCCGGTCCGGATTTTAGAATTCCAAATCCGGATCCGCCCTTTTAATTTGGTCCCTGGATTCGATTTCGGATCCTTCGGAACCTGAAAAATGTGGACTAGATCCGGCCCAGTCAGATTCGGTCCGGTTCTCGAGTCCAATACCTTAGAGCAAATTTAAGATAATCTAAAAAAATGTAGTCTTGTGGCGACGTGTTATATTTTATTTGGATGACGTGAATTAGGGCAGAAGTTTTAGATTTATAAAATATGACGTAAATATTTAATTATGTAATAAAATATATAATTATATAATAAATAATCATATATAATATATAGTACCAGATCTGAGTCAATTCCCGATCGAAACCATAAGTACCGTATAATACGGATCTGGTTCCGGAACCGGATTCGGATCCGGGTTTTGATTGAATTCCGAATCCGTAAAAATATATACCGGATTACGTGCCCAATTGACAATCCTAATCTGCTACACATGGTTCGTCTAATGTAATTTATTTTTCGAAGTCTAATTTGCAGGCCATTAAATTCAATTGAAGGTTTATCTAAAATACATTTGAAAGGTAACGATGATGGATTATCACATTATAATATATATATATATATATATAATAGGCCCCCTTTTGTAGGCCCTGGGCGGGAGCCTTTGTCGCGAAACTTGATCACCACCACACACAAAAATCACTTACCATCGCCATCTCCGTCACCATCACTGGACAACACATCACTAAATAAACCTAGTAACAATGCCGACAACAACAATAATCATATTAAGAATATCTTACTCCGTGCTTTCCGTAAGTACAAAGTTTCCCCAACTCTTATCAGAAAAAACACTTATTTGTGTACGGTCAACCTAAGATATTCACATCCGGGCAACGTACATATTTAAACCATTGGCCTCATAATAAAGAGCTAAACGATGCGGTAAACAACATATACATACATATGCTGTGTGTGGATTCGGACAACCTCGTCAAGGCTGTGACGGCATGGGTGATGACGGGGGCTTGTAGTCGGGATACTGCAATCAGGACAGGAATGTGAACCCGAGTTATCTCAACCATTTTAAGACAAGACAAAATCGAAAAACAGGCGAAACAAGACATACGTTAGGATATGGCGAAAGTGGTGTTAAGAGCCCAGGAAGCAAGTCTATGAAAATTTGTGCTTGTGGGACTGAGTTGAGTCCTGGTTTTGGTCCCGACACTGCCGCCGCCTCCACTGCGGCTTTGAGATTTGTCTGAACATCAGGGGATGTCTCGACAGGTAAGGCCTTTCCGGCTACCGGTAATAAAGCCTTCCCAATTTTCTGAAATTGTCAATGAAAAATTGACCATAAATCGTGAAACTTTCAGAATACGGAAAACTTTGTTCGCTTCGGATTTCTGTAATAGTAGTTTGATGTAATGTTTTGTAAAATAAAATTATTGTACTATGCTCCGTCCCATAAGAAAGTTCCATTTTCTATTTGTGTCTATTCCAAAACAAATGTACTATTTTCCTTTTAGTAATTGTACTACTTACCTAATATAATAAATATCCTTACAATTGACACTAGATTACACAAATGTCATTACTTTTACATTACACAACACAAATAAGGGTATTTTTGTCATTTTCTCTACAAACCAATATAATGTTAATATTAAAAAAATCTAAGTGCAGCAAATATTACTCATGTTAAGGGAAGGAGGTAGTATTTTTATTGAAAACCGTGCATAAAGAAAATATTTATTATAAGTAAACACAACCGAAGTGTCTAAATGTAGAAACAGATCAATCACCTGAATGTCGCCAGGGAGATCCTTAATGACAATCTTAGTAGTCAAGAACTCATCGATTTGTTGAGCTGTCCGTTCCCTTTTCTGCAAACAACATTAAAAATGCCGCGCTGAAAGCTTGTAAGGACAGACACGAGCAATAAAGACAAACCTCAGCGGACGCGAGTTTCTGGCGTATGAACTGAAGTATAGCAATCGATCCCAACACTTGGAGAATGGGTTCTACCTGAAAGAACAAACTAAATAAATATCGTATCTGCTAAAAAGGATCGAAACTCCCGGTAAGAATAAGTTAATTAAACCTCCGTATAGGTAACCAGTCCAAGAAAAGCCGCAGCTGCAGTGCCGAAGATAAATGGAACTCGTTCTGAAGCCACCTGCAAATCCGGTAATAAGTCCTCGTAACAAATTCAATAATGTAATAACAAATAATGGATTGATTGAAACTGAGATATTTACCCCAAAAGCGTCGCTAATGGCATCAAAAACCCGACTGGGATCGAAGCTAAAAGCCTTCTTGGGAAGTATCCAGGGAAGGCTGCTGTTCTGCAACATTAGTTTCGGACATAATGTAAAGCTTTGTTCTTACACTAGTAATTCTTGTACAATTAATTGCATATGCAAATGATGTTTAAGGTGGTTAGGAACCAGCCATCCTTCAGCGCCGTCTCGAATTGCGAATGCAGCTTTGAAGCCATTCGCCGTTGCCAGCTCCGCCACGAGCTCAGAGTTCCCATCGAATCTAGCTTCATCACAATTGATTGATTAAGTGGGAAAGTTCTTGTGAGAAGTTTTTATAGTATGGCAATAAATGTTCGAAATGTAAGAAATTAATAAAGAGATGAATCGGTCGGTAGATCAAATCCGGATCGAGCATTAAAAATAGCTATAGAACAATGTTAGTGTCCAAAGATGTAATATGAGAAAGCAGACTTAGGTTGTTATTATTTGAATTTATCCGAGTTTATAAAATTGACCTGATTTCATTATTAATAAATATGTCAAAAATTCTCCAAAAATGTAATATGGTATCAGAGCCATGGAATGTATCGGCAGACTGTCTTTGGAATTATTTGAGATTTATTACCACTTGGAAAATATATAATTTTAATCCTATCTATTTGTCACTTTTCCAATCCATCTAACTTATACCACCATCAAATATCATCGTCAAATACAATTGGATACCATTTGTCAAGGTGTGTTTTACCAAATAATATAATTAATTATTTTTTCTTATTTACATTTTTTTTCTCTACCATTCGATTCTTTTCTTTGCCAATGAAGCACCCTAAACTACAGTCGAAGTGATTTATTCTAATAAATCTAACAATACATTATCATCGAAGATCATATGAAATCACAAAAAGGGGAAAAAAAACAAAACCTTACTTGTCCAAAACAAACAAAGTGGTGTTCTGAGGATCCTTCATCTTCAAAGACAAGAAATTCAAGAACGCAGCTTTATCCTCCCGTCTGAACCCGACAGCAATGGCGCTTTTCTTAAGGCCACGAATGTCAGGACTCCCCACCTCTTTCATCTCCGACGGCTCACGAATGTCCACCAACTGAGCCTCCGGATCCTCCCCCAATTTCTCATAAGCTGTTTTCGCATTCACCACTCCCCAAGCTTTCGGCTTCCCGCCGATCAGCTGAGCAACCGCCAACGGCGCCGCCAGAATCGCCGCCACGCCGCCGATGATTACGCCATTGTCGGCGGCGAAGGAGGTGAAGCTGTCGAAAACTCCGGCGATGTCGAAATCCCCGCCGCCGCCGCCGCTGACGGTTTGCTGGAGGGCTTCTTCGTAAGACAATGCTTTGGCTAAATTGGAGGCGGAAATGGCGATTGACGACAGGAGAATCAAGGGGGCCGACAGAAAATTGGAAGGTGGATTTGAATTAGGTCTGAAATTGGGGGAAGTTTTTGTTTTGAATCGAGACAGAGGCGTCGGGGAGAAGGAGAAGTTGTTCTTGCAGTTGGTTTTGTTTCTTTTGGGAAGAACTGATACGGGTTTTGGAGAAACTGCTGCCTTTAGAGCTTCCATTAGGGTTTTGATTTCACCTTACAGAGTTTTTCTTCCCCTACCTTGAGGGGAGCGGGGGAGGTGAGTGGATTGACTGCCACGTGGCGCCATGGATGACGTGGCTCCATTTTATTGGATGGATGGATTGGGTTTTTGACTCTGTTCATATTGTGTGGCCACCGTTGGAGGCATTGGCTATATTTATAGCAACAACGGCTCATTGCTCTCGGGTCTTGGGTAAACCGTAAACCCGAACCCAACTTTGATTCTATTTATTTATTTATTTATTTGAAGTCGGATTTAATTATTTGAATATCAGGTTTAGGTTCAGTTTAGATATCCAGATTCGGATAGAATCTCGAGTCCAATGATGGATCTTCGCACAGGTTAAATATGTTGCTAATATATTAATTATATATATGAAAAAAAAATTAATGATATTAATTATATTTAAAATATGTTTAATTTAATTTATTTTATTGTAATATGTTTTAATAACATATATATAATTTTAGTATATATCGGGTTTAAGTCAAATTTTAAATTAAATTTTAAAAATTGTAAAAAAAAAAATTAGATTTATTTGATCCGTCGGGTTTTGTCGGATATTGTTCAAGTCGGGTATGTGTATAGTCGGATTCGAATTATAGTCGAATCAAAATCGAATCTTGGGTCCAGTAATATAAATTCGGGTCGGGTCCAACTCATGCCGACCCATTGTCATCCATAGACAATGGGTTCAAATCCCGATTCGTTTTAGTTTTGACGGGCTCGTTGTAGTTTTGCCCCATCAGGGCCAGTCCTATGGACGTGGGCAAGAGAGAGGTTGGTTCAGGCCAGTTAAATATTTATGTTATAAATGTATTGTTACTATATAGTATATATTTATTATTTGATTTATTTGTAATTAAAAGAAATATAATTTGGTATTGTAAAATTATTTTGTAATGGCAAGATTATGAATTTTAATTTATAGGATTATTAAGAAAAATAAATAGTACTATTTTTGCATCTACAAATATTAGAAAAAATAATTTATTTAATTGTTTAAATTTTTATTATAAATAAAAAATATTATATATATATATATTTAGGGACTCTATTTTTGTTTTGTCTGGAATCCCTTGAAAGTTCGGACCGATCCTCGCCTCATATATAATTTAGTATAATTTGTCTTGTTTGATTTAATTTGTAAGTTATTCTTTCCGTCGTCTAATTGTGTGCTCATTTGACCGGACACGAATTTTAAGAAAAATATGTAAAATAAAAAATTTTAATTTTTTTTGGTTAAAAAAAGTGATATTTTTTTACTAAAAAAATAAAAACAAGAATAAATTTGGATGACAATAAAAAAAAAAGAAAATGAGAATAGATTTGAACGAGGGAGAGATTATTAAATACGATCAAAAATTTACTTAAAATAGGGTGTGTTTGTTTGGGGGATTGAATTGGATTTACACTATTCATCCAATTTTTTCCCCAAAAATATCAAATCAAATACTTATTTTTCATTTTTTATATTATACTAAAAATCAATTTTAAATTCAAAACATCACATCAGCACCTATTTATATCGCATCATACAACTATTCAAATTCAAAATTTTTACTATTCAAATCCCAACTCAAAATCTAAACCCCAAACAAACACCCTCTAGAAAAATAACAAGAAGTTAGCACATCATTCAAAAAAAAAAAAAAACAATGGCCCAATTTTAGAGGTGTAACCATGATATTCATATTGTGAGTCTATTAATCTCCAATTTTATAATTTAAGAGATAATTCATCTCTCTTTCAAGTTTTGTTTAGATAAGGATTTTCGTAGAGTTTGAAATTTTGAAATTTATAATTAGTAAGAAAAATAGTAATTAATATAATATTTTATAAGAAAAAATACATATTTAATGCTAAAAATTCAAAAGTGGTTGCACAATCAGAACATTAGTTATTTTACTATAGTTTATTTTTTAAGTTATCATTGAATTTAGATTTTTTTATTTTTTTTTTTGTGTGTATAAGATTCTATTCAAATATTTTAGCCAATAAAAGTAATGAAGATCTTTTTTTGAAATTTGCATGAAAAAAATAAATTAAATTATTATTATTAGTTTTTTTTTCTATTTATGACTTCCAAATTATCTGAGATTCATCATCCTTGAGTATCCATTGGAACATATTTTTGTTTATTTTTGTCGACCCTTCATCATTGCAGATCGGGCCTAAGTCTAACTCATTTCTTAAGTTTTTAATTATTGATGATATATTAAAATCTTCTAAAGAAATAATTTAATGTGTGCAAATACAAGAGCATAACGGTTAATAAGGTCATTTTCAACTCACAAATTTTATTTATATAATTTTAATTTAAAAACTACAATTGCTATAGTATTTTTATTTTAATTTATAACTTTAATTTTACTAAAAAATATTCTTTAATATTTTATTTTATATATTATTTTAAAATCATTACTTTATATTTACAATTCATAATAACTTTAAAAAACAAAAAATAAAAAAAGGATCAATAATAATAATAATAATAATAATAATAATAAAGTAACGTAAAAAATTGACAATTTTTAATATTAGATTTTACGTCGGCAACCGACGCCAAATCAACCAATTCAACTCAGCATTATTAATAGCGTTGGATCGGAGATGACCTAATAAATAGTAATAATGAACCATACGCATGCAATTATCTTGTTATGTGTTGTGTAATGTATTTGGTATTTTATTTTGAATAATGTGTATGATATATGATAGTTGTTTGTTTGTACATTTATTACAATAGTTCATCAACTAGCGTCTTTTTGATGAGTACATTTATTATAATTGACAATTAATTCTGAGTTAAAATATCGATCCAGATTTTCCAGGAAATTGCTTACCTCAGGCAGAAGATCAATTATGTGTATCCGAACGACACCGTTTAATATATATTTTTAAAACTTTTTATGGTTAATTTTATTAGAATATGTATGTTTATTATTTTGAAATATTTTTATTAAAAAAATACTACATTTGCCTTATAAAATCCAACAGCTGTATTTAACATTAAAAATATTTTTATATTTATATAATTTACTTCACAAATATTATTGTATTTGTATTATAAAAAACTATTATCAATACGACAAAAAAACTCATTGATACTTTTGTTACGAGACAGATGTAATAGTACAATTTTATTGATAATTCTATAGTTGCATTATACTCGTGCATAGTCCGAGTATGTTAAAGATTAAAATATATAATAATTAATTTATATTTTAAATTTTAAATATGGTGTTGTTTGTTGCGTAAATAATTTGAAAAAATATTATTTTTTATGTAAAATAAATTGTGTAAATATTATAAAAATAATGAATGTTTGTAATTTATATATTTTTTGAATATGTTTGATTTTTATTTATTTATTTATTTATTTTACAAAAACAACGCACCATACATTTATAGTAAATATTTAAAAAATTTAATTATTTTTTCATATAATTTTAAAAATAAAAAAATATAATTTTTGTCGAGTAAACGATTCATTATCATTCTTTAACACAATTTTTTTTTTTATTAATCTATGAAAATATGATTTTATCTTCAGATATTTTTTTTTTAATTTCTTTCTTCCCGGAAAGTTGGACGTAAGTTGATGTGAACACCCGATGATGACTTGTCGCCAGTAGAAACCGATGTGTGTGTCACGTGGCTATTTTGCACCGCTAACCGAGTAATTATTTATTATTTATTTTTAAAAATTTAAAATTACAATTTGATCAAATCGAACTAAATTACAAAAATAGATTGATTAAATAAATCCAAATCTTCTTGAAATTTTATTCACATCGGTCGACTGACTGATCAAAACCCTAGATCTCTCCGATTGAGTCAAAATTTGTTGACGCTTGCCCGCATCTTTGTCATTAAAATCACACCATCGTCGTGCGCCATATTCTCACCACAGATGATTTATTGGCTTTTTCAGTCTGTGCCCGATCTTATACGCAACGAAATTTTAATTATATAAGTTATACATTATATAATTGGAAAAAATATTTGTATAAAGTTTGATTTGGATGGTAAAATTTTAATTTAAAATAATTGTTTAATATGATTTAAATAAAAATTGATGATATTTTAAATCTAAAGTAATTTTAATATGATATAAAAAATTAATATTTATTCCGTCGTTTAAATATGTACTTTATTTTTTTTAATTGTTATAAAAAAATATTATCATTTTTTAAAATAAATATTATTATATTTTTGTTTCTTTTTTACTATAAAAAGTAAGAATAATTATTTATTTTTTTAAAACTCATGTCCGTTAAATGAGTATACAATTGCATGACTGAATGAGATATTTAGCTTCCGGGACCATGTTGACACTATGCTCTCAATTTTTTTAAAAAAATATTACATCATACGGATCCAGTCAAAATTCATTCAGAATTTATAATTTCTATTACCCTCCTCAATAAACAAATATATTTATATTCATTAAAAACTCCATATTTATTTGCAAATTAATTTATATTAATCATCAATAAAAATTTATATTTTTTTATTTATTTGTAATATATAAAATTTTATTGATATATATTGTATATATTTAGTTACGATATAATTATTAAAATAATTAAACACATATTTTAAATTTTATATATATTACATCATAATAAAATATTAATTACATTAATCACTTTCAACTCAATAATTTAACTGGTAACCGAAAACACCAATTTGATACTCAATTCTTCCATTATAAAAAGTATAAATTTACTATTTTTGGAGTAAAAATTTAAGAAATAATAGTATTTTAAATATAGTAATACTTAAAAAAAAAATGTAAAAATTCTATTTTATCGTGTGTAAAAGTAATAATGGAAAGATAAATAAATATATTTGTAAAAAAGAAAAATATTAATATTTTATGGGTAAACTGTTTTTTTAGTCCCGTTACCATTTATCATTTTAGTCCCGTAAGTGGAGCCTGTCGCAAGCTAGTTCCATGAGTGAAAAATTTTCGTTGTTTTAGTCTTCCGGCGCCGGAGACACCCGCGTGGCTCGCCGGATGTGACGTCTCCGCCAGGTGTCCCGCCAGGTCAGCAACACCCGCGTGGCTCGTCGAAATGTAACGTGTACGCCGGGTCAGCAACACCCGGCGGAAACATGGATTTATTTATTTTTTCATTTATGTTAATTTATTTTTAATTGGACCAAATAAAAAAATACAAATAAATTAAAAATAAATGAAAAATAAGTTTTTAAAAAAATTTAAAAAAGAGAAAAAAAATAAAAAAAATCCACGTGTCTGCCCGGTGTCGCTAACCCAGCGGACACGTCACCTTTCGACGAGCCACGCGGGCGTCTCCGGCGCCGGAGGACTATAACAACAAAAATTTTTCACTTATAGGCCTAGTTTGCGACATTGACTAAAACGATAAAGGGTCCAATAATTGCACTAAAAAACAGTTTACCCATATTTTATAGCTGAACAATTCAAAATAAAAATAAATATATTTTGTCACTGGATAAAGAAAATATATTTTACTAAAATCATTTTTTTTTATGTTAGATAATAATAATAATCATATAGATAATATAAAAAATAATATTTTATAGTCCATCGTGAAGAGTTTTTTGTAAATTTACAATGAAAATAACATACTTCTACCGGATGAAAAGAGATAATAATATTTTGTATTCAATTGTTTAATTTTTTTTTGAGTGAATATATTATATTATATATATATGTGGGGTATGTTTGTTTGAGAGATTGGATTTAATATACACTATTCATTTCATTTTTTTCTCCAAAAAACATCATATTAAACACCTATTTTTTATTTTTTATATTATACTAAAAATCAATTTTACATTTAAAACATCACATCAAGACCTATTTATATAACATCATACAACTATTTAAATTCAAAATTTTTACTATTCAAATCACAACTCAAAATTCAAACCCTCGAACAAGCACACCCTTAATATATGTATGTAATATTATATTATATATATTTTTGGAATATTTACCATATTTAAAAAAAATATTTTGGATCAACTGACATATTTCATTGGAATTTGAAAGAGCAATTATACAAGCAACCGAAGGCATTAATTTCCCGAAACTGAATGGTAGCGACTGCAGAGAGGCGGTTTGAGCAACACAAATCACCGACTCCAACCCCTAAAATATATTGTGGCTTTTTGCAGGTGAGATCTCGGAAGGAGATTTGGAATTGATCGAAAATGGACAGCGGGTCAAGCGACGGCGAAGCGGCGGCACTCAAGAAGATACCGGCGTCGGCTGCCATGCTTTGGATTCGAAATCTTCGCCGCTTCATCGGATCCGGCACCGGCTTAGGATACGAAGCTATTATTGGTATTTCTAGACGTTTGCTTACCCTAGCTATTTAGGCGGAACAATTGGCGGAGCTGACATTGATGGTTCTTTCTTGCTCCGTGTAGAATCGGAGACCAAGGAGATTTTGCGGGACATTTTTAAGGACATGCAACAGAAGTGCGGGGAAGCTGATTCAATTCCTAGCTTCTACAAACAGGTATGATATATTTACCTTCGTGTTAGGTCTTTTAATTAGTTTTTGTAGTTCTTCTGTTAAGGGTATAATTCACTTTCATATTAGGTTTTTTTTTTTTTTTTTGATCGGAAACTTTCATATTAGGTTTTTCAATTATGCGTTGTTGTTCTTCGGCTAAGCTCATGGATTCTGCTTTTACAGAAACCTGACGATGGTTCCATCAACCATAGGGTTCACAGGCTGGCCAAATATCGTTTTCTCAAGGTACTTGGCTGTGTGAGTGTGTGTTTTTGTTTCTATAGTTGTTTAATTGCTTTTCCTAGTTTGGTTCGTGTCTCATTTCCTGGTAATATAACATCGTTGAATTTCAGGCCCGGATTTAACATAATTATTTCTGTACATTTATCCTTACTGAGATTGCTTCTTGTAGGAATATTTATAGGTTTGTCAAGGTAACGGAGATCTTATTCTTTGTCATTTAGTTTGTTGTATAAGGTGTTGGTATGTAGATCTGATTGTTTTCCTGTCTTCATTGTTTAACAGAGTCGACATCGATCGTGAGTTAGCACTAGCCATTTTCAACGTTGTTCACAAGTTTTGTCGAACTCTAGTGTTACCTTAGGAGTGAGCTGTGGTTCTTAATTTTATTCAATTTATTTTGGGGATGTTTTTCACATTCAAAAAAATATAAATTACGTTGTGGTAATTGTCTTGGGTTTTTGTTGTTTTTATTTTAGATTTGTGATTACATTATTGAGTTTTCTCTTGTCAGAAACAATGTGATCATCTGCTGAATGCTGATGACCTGGATGCAATGTGGGTTCGCCTGAAGGAAAATTGTGTTATCGATGATGCAACTGGTGCTGAAAAGGTATACTGATGTTCATTGAGCAATGTAACTGTTACCATTCATTGACCTTGAATTTGTGTAGTATTTTCCATGCTTGCAATTCATGAATGCCTCTTTGTTTTTGCTCTGCTAGTTAATGCCATTAAATGAAAGTCAAGTTTGCATCAGAATGTTGGCTGGGATTTGGAAAGATAAAAGAGTGTACTATTATTTCTGCAAGATCTTGTTTTGGTAGTTTGTCAACCTGATTGTGCAGTATTTTTTGTATCTTACAATGAATAATATGATGTCTGATTAGTTGGTTGAGTGAAGTTTTGCTGATATTTATTCATCTTTTATTGTTTAGATTAATTATGAAGACTTCTGCCATGTTGCCGCTGTATGCACGGAACAAATAGGCCCCAAATGCCAACGGTATTTTGGTCCATCCAATTTCGTGAAGTTTGAGAAAGATGCATCTGGAAGAATTTCTATTCTCCCCTTTTATCTCTATGTGATGCGCTCGGTATAGTCTGCTGACTCTGCTGCACTGTTTATACTTTCAGAAAATTACTTTTCTCATTATCATTTCATGCTGATTTGTTAGGACAGCTGTTTCCGCCTTTTGCTTTGTATACTACCCATGACTGTGGTCTACCTGTCTATAGAATTATCTAACTTGTGGGAAAAGTGAAACAAAAATTTTAAACTCTTAATGCCTTAGCTTCTTCCCTTAATCTTCAGTTATAAAGCCATTGAAAAAGTAGCAAACAATTAAGAATTTAAGGTCCTTTCTGTTCACAAGAAAAGTGGATTGACAATAGTGGCTGAATGAAATGAAACTTGTTCTGGAATTGCATTCGATATTACTTCATTAAACTCCAGGTTGCACTTACTCAAGCAAGAATTGATATGAGTGAGCTTGATGATGATTCTGATGGCTTTCTTCAACCTCATGTAAGTTATCACTTTTTTTGTGCCATGGATCACTTTTCATAATGGATAGAAATCTGATGATCATCTCATGAAATAGGAATTGGAGGCGTATATAAGGGGACTTATTCCAAAATTGGCTCAGTTGAAGGACATGCCTGTAGATTTTGTTCAAATGTACTGTCGCATAGCTGCACACAAATTCTTTTTCTTCTGTGATCCATATAAACGAGGTTGGCTCTAAGTTTTTATAGTTTTCTGATGCTAATTTATTTGAAGATGGTGGCATGTGAAAATTAGAGGTTAATGGCAGGTAATGCTTGCATAACGAAGGTGTTGCTTAGTAATAGTCTCCAGGAGCTAATGGAACTGCACCAGGTATACTTGATGTTAGTTTATTGGAAAACGATTCAATACATGATAAATGAAATAATAATAATAATAGTAAGATTTAGGCATGCGTTCAATTTTTAAGGCAAGTTTTTTAAAGTTTCAATTTGGCTCCACTGTTCTGTATTGTCAAAATGTGTTCTTCTCATCTACAATGGATTTGATTTTTCAAGTTTCGTATTAGATAACCTTCCTTTTTTTTTTTCTCTTCTGTTGAATTAATATTTTGGATCTCATCAGGCATTCTGTTGCTTCTTGTAACTTCTGAAACATTGATTTGTTTAATTTTTATCTGCACTCAGGAAAGTGAGGAAGAAGCTACTGCTACTGAACAGGGTGAAAATTGGTTCTCTTTGACATCTGCTCAACGTATCTGTGGTAAGTCCTCTGAGGTTATTGCTAGATATGTATAATATGCATGTTTCATTGATGCTGCTATTATTGTAACATATTGGTAAGTGCTGTTCTTTCTTTATAATTTACTGGAGAATAAGTACTAATTCATGATGTTAATTCTTATTTTATTTTTCGTTGTCAATCTTAGAGATCTTCTTTCCCCTCCAGTTTTGAACTGAAAACAATTTCCAGCTATGAGGTCTATTTAAGCGTTTTGACTCTTGTTAGATGTGGGATTAGTTTCGTATCCATTCATTAAATTTTATCCTTGAGATCATGTAATATATGCTTATTCAAATCTAGGTTTAAGTAACTGTTTAAATTTTGGCTATTGATTGATCTTGCTGAACAGAGTCTCTCTCCTATTATGTTGCTGTTAGCACTCAAAGAATCAAACGCAACGCGTTTGCCAAATAGCCATAAGGCTCTGTTTATTTTCTCAATAATCAAAGATGCTCAACAATGTCGTCACCACACTTGAATAACAATTAACCCTAAGCCCAACAATTAGGTCCACAACTAATAAAAACACAACAATAACAAATAATACAATAATAAGGATAAATAACTAAATCACTGCCGGCCTAGCCCGCTCGCAGCGACGCAGTCGGCCGTAGACCAACAACGGCCGTGGCTGCGCCACCCCGACCCCTTGCTCCACATCAACTCCCTCACCCTCGAGAACAACCTTGTCCCCAAGGTTGAACCAAGGAAACTGCAGTTGGAACTCACGCCCGCTCATCTAGCTTGCGTCCTCCTCCGGCTGACCAACTCAACGTACCAACAATTGTTCCACCTTAACACCAACCTCTTCCACGCTCTGCCTTGCCAACACCGCCTCGGGTTCGAACACAGGAACCTCTAGAAACTCCAAGGAATCCGGTAAGCTGGCCTCCACTGCATGGTCACCAATAACTCTCTTAAGCTGCGAAACATGGAAAATTGGATGAATGCGGCTGGTCTCCGGCAGCCCCAACTTGTAGGCAGTAGGGCCAATGCATGCCACCACTTCATATAGCCCAAAGAACTTGGCGGCGAGCTTGTGTTGTTTGCTGGCCAGCGACGTCTGTCGATGGGGACGCGCTTTCAAAAACTCCCGGTTGCCCACCCCATAACTGACATTGCGGCGATGACGGTTGGTCGAACGCACCATTCTCTTCCTCGCACGTTATCAAATTGTCATGTAGACGAGTCAACATCCGATCTCAGCTCTGAAGCATTTTAGCCACCGCCACCGTGCGACACTCACCTGGCAATTTCCTCCGGAGCGTGGGGAATTGCCACCCATACACAACTTCGAATGACGTTAATTTTGCTGCAGTCTGGAACACCATATTGTACGAATATCCCGCTCAGGGCAGCCAGTTCACCCACCTCTTTGGTTGCTCCCCTGTAAAACAACCCAAATAAGTCCTCAAACACCTTGTTAAGCACCTCTGTTTGACCATCCGTTTCAGGATGATACGCAGAACTAAACTTGAGCTGAGTTCCCGACAACTTGAAAAGCTCCTTCCAGAAAACGCTGACAAATAAAGGATCCCGGTCACTGACAATGGACCGTGGAATTCCATGCAAACGGACCACCTCACGCATGAAGGCCTCGGCCACCTACCTTGCCGTGAGATTGTCTTTTAGTGCTATAAAATGACCATACTTGGAGAGGCGATTAACCACTACCATCACCGAGCTATACCCCTGAGACTTCGTCAACGTGGTGATGAAATCCATTGAAACATCCTCCCAAATGAGATCCAGAACCGGTAACGGCTGCAACAACCCGGCCGATGACAGAGCCTTGTATTTCGCCTTCTGGCAGATCAAGTATTTTGCCACGTAGTCCTGTACTGCCCGGAATATGCCTTTCCAATAAACACTCGAAGCGATCCTCTTATACGTCTGCAGAGCTCCAGCATGGCCTCCCAAAGAGGTGTCGTGGAATTCCTGAAATGGTTTTGGAATCTACACCGAGTCAGAGGCCAGCACAATGCGGCTCTTATAGAGCAATTTTCCGTCGACCGCCTCAAACCCTGGTCGAATGCTCGGATCCCGACGGAGATCAGCAACAACGCTCTGAACGAAGCTATCACGTGTCTTGCTCGGATAGCACATCCCCCAACTCACCCCAATCTGTACTACTGAGTGCTAACAAGACGCTTTCATTCCCCTTCCGAGAAAGCGCATCCACCGCCGAGTTGGCCGCACTGGGCTTGTACTCAATAACAAAATCATAGCCCAATAATTTTGCCACCCAATTTTGCTAAGAGGGCGTAACGATCTTCTGTGAGAGGAGTTCTCACCGTAAACTGGCGACCCACCAAATACGGCCTCCAATGCCGCACTGCGAAAACCAACCTCATCATCTCCCTCTCGAATGTTGACCGCGTAAGGGTTTTTTTGGCCAAGGACTTACTGAAGTAAGCGATTATACGCTCCTCCTGCATATGCACGGCGCCAATCCCAGACCCGGAGGTTTCACACTCAAATCACGAACCACTTCCGGAAATCTGGCATCGCCAAAACCGGAGCCATTGTCAAAGCCGATTTTAACGTTTGAAACGCCTCTCTCGGCCGCTTCTGTCCAAGTGAACAGAACAAAAACAGTCTTCTTAAGTCTGTAAGGTCGTGCAATCTGCCCATACCCCTGAACGAACCGGCGATAATAACCGGTAATATCACGGACACTGGAAGGACCAGGCCACTCCACAACCACCCGTATTTTTTCTGGATCCATCTCTACCCCAACCCTGATATCACATGACCTAAATACTCAGAACTTCGAGCAACCAAATGAGCATTTCTTTCGGTTTGCTTTATACATATTATCTTGCAAGACCTATAGGACCTATCTCAAGTGGTCCTTACGCTGCTGCCAAGACCTTCTGTAAACCAAAATGTTATCAAAAGTTACGAGCACAAATTTCCTAAGACAAGGTTGAAAAAGATCATTCATAGCGGATTGAAAGGTTTCCGGTACGTTAGTCAGCCCAAATGGCATAAGCAGGAACTCATAGTGACCACTATGAGTGCTAAACACCGTTTTATAAATATCACGATCCTTTACCCGAATCTAGTGGTATCTGAAACCCAGGTCAATCTTTGAAAATATCACCGCTTCCGACAGCTTATCTAATAACTCAGAAATAGCGGGAATGGGGTACTTATTCAGCACTGTCACCTTATTAAGCTCCCAATAGTCCACACAGAAACGCCAGCTACCATATGTTTTCTTAACTAACAACACCGGGCTGTTGAATGGGTTGGATGATTCTGGTTAGGAGCATGTCCGCAAACATTCGCTCAATCTCATTCTTCTGCACCTGACAATAGCGATATGACCTCACCGATACAAGCCTCAAACCTGGCGCCAACTTGACCCTGTGCTCGGTACCGCGAGTCGGGGACAGCTCCTCTGGATCACCGAAGACCCTCTCAAATTGTGATAAAACCTTTGCGATAGCCTCCCCTGCAGGCTCCGGCACCCCTAGCAGCGGCCCCAATACTACCATAACCAACAACTCCACTTCCTCCATTCGAACCAACGCACGGACCCCAATGGTCCCCTACACAGAGCTGGATCTCCCCTTAAATGCACTCGCCTTCCTTAAAAAACAAATGACATCGTCAATTTGGCCCATTTTGTCTTAATTTCCCCAAGTGTCGCCAACCACGCTACCCCAATGATGTCGTCTACTCCACCTAGCGGAAAAATGTGAAAATCCGCTTTTAACTCGAGACCGGCCATTGAAAACCCGATATTGCGGCATATCCCCGCCGACTCCAAGTGCCGCCCATCGCCCAGCTGAACCCCGAACCGGCTCAACTCATTAGGCTTCAAATCGAGCTCCGCCACCACGAGACTCTAGATGAAATTATGGCTAGTACCATTGTCAACCAACGCCGTAACCCGAAGCCCAAGCATTTCTCCCACGAAGCTTAAGTTTCAGAGCCCGGTGAGCCACGTCATCGAGTACATTGGCAACACGGCCTCCTCATTCTCCCCATTTTTCGGCAAGACTACGGCTGCTCCCTCTTCTTGCCGATTAGGATCACCATGAAACTCAAAACAGTGTAGATCTAACGCCTCGTCCTTCTCTGCTATCAATACATTCAGTTGCCGCATGGGGCATTGATGCCCTGACATATACGTTTTTTTACAGCGAAAGCATAAACTTTTCGTTTGAAGTTCCGCCGTCTCTTGAGAAGGCATGCGGGAGAAATATCGAGCGGCCGACTGCAGCCCGGAGAACGACCGTGCTGGTTGAATTCGCTGCGGGGGTCTTAGGCCAGAAGACCCCGTGAACCCCACCGACTGAGGCATGCTAGGCCTCGGTCCCGAGGAAAAACTCTACCCTGATGTAGGCCGGCCGTAGGAAGCAGGCTGCGTGAACGTACTACTGTTAGCCCTCCAACCTCGGTCCCTACCCACAATTGCCAAATTTGACTCCACATCTCTTGTTAGGTCCATCGCCTTCTCCAAATCTTGCGGCCGCATGAATGGAGAGAACCTCAAATCTCTTCTGACTACACCTTTATAAAGTATCCCAAATAATATTCATCACTCAAACCCGGAACCTGATTGGCCAACTGAACAAACAAGTTGGAGTATTCCTCCACCATGCCTGTTTGCGCAACCGCCCCTAACCTCTCGAAGGGGCTTCCCTTAAAATGAGCATCAAATCGGTTTGTCGGAGCCCGAGAAAATTCCACCCGTCATATTCAGCTTTATGGATCGAATCCACGAAAACTAGTATAGTGCCAATTCCTCCATCGCCACCATTGCAGCGGCCAATTTCAACTGCTCGGCTGTATGGTGCAACTCGAACTGCTGGTTGGCCCTCGCTAACCAACTGATTGGATCTGCCTCGTCAAAGGAGGGCAGCGATGGTGGTGTCAGATCCCTCTTCTTCAGCCCTAATCTCACACCCCGCCTCGGTCAAGGCCGAGTCTACCACATCATCGCCCACCTACTGTCGCGGGGTGGAAGTGACGGAAGCCGTTAGTCTGGCCAAGGTACAAGCGATCTCCTTCAGCTGCTCGGTTACCCTTGCCTGATCCTTCGCCATAGTCTTCGTCTCTGCCTCATCTCCGCCGGTCTATTCTCCAAATCCTCAAATCTTTGTTCATTGCGTGTGTTCGTCATCCCGGGTGAGTGTTCCACGCTTACCGCACCAATTGTTAGCACTCAAAGAATTAAAGGCAACACGTTTGCCAAATAGCCGGAAGGCTCCTATTTATTTTCTCAATAATCAAATATGCTAATGTCTTCACCACACACTTAAATAACGATTAACCCTAAGCTTAACAATTAGGCCCATAACTAATAAAACACGACAATAACAAATAATAAATAATAAGGATAAATAACTAAACCACTGCCGGCCCATCCCGTTCGCCGCGACGCCATCGGCTGTAGACCAACAACGGCCGTGGCTTCGCCACCCCGATGCTCCAAATCAGTTGCATGCCTTCTTTTTGCATTCTAAGAAAGTTAATTTGATTCTGTACTTGATTCATTTGTATATTTGGATAATCTCAATGGTTATATTTCAACAATTCTTCTACCTCTTTTCATATATCTCATTCATAAGTATATAATTCTCATACTTCTGGCAAATGTGTGCAATTGTTAGAATGGGGACCATATCTAATTTGTGCGTTTTATTCTCTTGTGCTTCTGGAAGTGTAGAAGTGTTTTTGATGTCTGAAATGCCTGTCTTTGTAAACTTATGTTTCTTCAGATATGTTCCTAGCTCTTGATAAAGATATGAATGGAACATTAAGCAAACAGGAGCTTCGAGATTATGCAGATGGAACATTGACTGATATCTTCATTGAGAGAGGTTAAAACTGAAATCCCTCCTTCGACTATCTTCTAACTTTTATTTATTTATTTGATATTTTTTGCCCCCTGGACTACTGTTCGAATGTGCCTCAGTGACACTTTATGAGCATCCTTCTGCTCATCCTTTTATCTTTGTTTCAGCTCCTACATATCAATTTCACAATAGCCATTTCATATGCGCACTCGCCCATAATCCTACATATAGTGATCTTTACTATTGTTTATATAAAAAATTGTGCATTTGTGTAGCTCCTCTGTTATGTTTCCAAATAAAACTTCATATCTGAAATTAGGCACTCACAGAATGAGTAAGTAGTGACACCTAGTTATGCTCTTAGTTCTAGTTCTGGTTGGAATTTTGGAATCAAGAACTAAATTGAAAACAGTTTTTAGAAACACAAATATTGGGATTGGAGTCATGGAAAAGCTATGGGAATGGTTTCAATTTTTATTGATAAAACCAAGGTTGTAGTCACTGGTGTGGTCTGTTTGTGAACTTATGAGATTATTACTGATTATTTGTTGCTTAACAGACTATTCTGACATGTTATTAGAGCAGTGTCTTCTGATGTTCAAATTCTTTCCATCAACCCAAATATAGTCATAGACGTTTATACTTTAGCGAAATGTTATTTTATGGGCTCCAATTCATGTCTTGTTATGCCCACTGGAAATTTTGTATACACAAGAGCTGTTAACTGTGCTGTCTCTCAATAACACACTTTATTGTACTTGCACAGTGTTTGATGAGAACGTACCACATGGGACAAGTGGTGGTGGAAACACTGGGGAGATGGATTTCGAGAATTTTCTCGACTTTGTTTTAGCTTTAGAAAACAAAGACACTCCAGAAGGATTGACATACTTATCTAGGTGTCTTGATCTTCAGGGAAGGGGATTTGTCACAACTGCTGATATCCACACACTCTTCAGGTTCAGATAAATCAAACTCTCTCCTAAATCCTTAAAATTATTTTTGTTTGTATGCATTTTATAAATAATCAAAGAACATTGCTGCAACTCCTAGTGCTCAATGAAGATCTAATCTGGTGGGTGTGTCCAATAATGTGTGTTCTTATGAAACATTTCATTACATACAATCCCACAATGAAACAGGGACGTACAAAAGAAATGGATTGAGGGTGGGAACTATGAGCTGTGTGTCGAGGATGTACGCAATAAAATCTGGGATATGGTGAAACCTGCCGATCCACTGAAAATAACTCTTGCGGATATGCTTGCGTGCAAACAGGGGGGCACAGTTGTGAGCATGCTTGTAGATGTGCAAGGTTTCTGGGCTCATGATAACCGAGAGAACCTTCTTTAGGAAGAGGAAGAGCCACCAGAAGAGGAACAACAAGTTTAAGGTTTCTTTGTATCCTGTAATAATTGTGTCTGAGAATTTATTAGCTAACTATGTTATCATCATGCATAACGGAATTCAAAATAGCAGTAGGAAAAACTGGTGAAGGATGTTGGATAACTTCTAAAGAATGAATGCTCTGCCGTTAACTGAGTAGAACCTTGTGACAATTTGTGTTATTTAGTTAGTTTTGATGTAGTATGGGAGCATGTTGGTTTTAGTTTTGTTTGGGAGTATGCATTCATTCCTTGACACGTAAGGGAACATAATGAGGCAGACATAGATATTGCTACAGAAGAAACTGGTAAGGGATCTTTAGAAACAAATGATTTGACACTAGATGAAAATGCTTCTGAACCTGTAGATAAGTCATGGTGTATCCAGAGATCCTTCCCATGGAAACATGAGTGATATAAATTATTCATTAGGTACTGAAAATGCATTGAGCAATGTGTACAATCTTGAAAAAAGTGATGGTATCGTTGTAGGCCATAATAAATAGATCTTTTGAGCGAGAGCTTTAATGATATCTGGTCATTTGTTTCCAAGTTTGATGCACCTGCCCCTCGAAATGTATCAAGCAAAGTAGTCTTATTGTTTTGCTTGATGGTGGAGGTTCCATGTTTGTCAATAAGGTTTCTCTCCTCTTTTGTCCAAAAAAGGCTTTCCAAGTAGCACCAAACCTTCTTATGACCTCTGGTGGCATTATTGACCGCCTCAGTATGTTTTCTTTCTTGATGCCGCAGTTATGTTTTTTCTCTTTTTCCCCTTACACATATATATGTGTGTGTGGCTTTTTTATTGGCATGCTAGAATTTGGTCCATTTTTACTTCTAGAATGAACAGTACTGCTACCTAGATTGCTGTCACAAATAAAATTGTTCTAAAATTTTTGTACTTACCTATTTTACTTGATAATATAAACCACACACATAATGCAAATTATATAACCATCTTGAGCTATTTACTGAAATTCTTGAATGATAAAAGACCATGTTATGCTTAATAATTGATGTAGCCCTTGCTCCATTATGGCCAAATCTGTTTTAAATTTTTAGTTGCATTGCGGCATTATTACTCTTAAGAAGTTTGTGTTATACTAAAATGCGTATCTGTGATGTTCTTTGCGAGAAGGTTTGTACTTCCTTAATTGAGTACCTGAGTGATCTTTATGGTGTTTCAGATAAACTAGTCTTCAGCCAATAATGGACTGAACTTCCATGATTCAAGCCATTGTTATGTGCACTTCCAGATTTTGTTCATCGATCTCTTCCATATGCATCAACAACTTTGCAAAGCTGAGCGCTAAAGGTGCTTAGTTGTGTCCTGCTACTAACATTACCTATTGTGATTTGATGAATTCAGATTAAACCAGCCTTTTTCTTGTCTCTATCACTCATCTCTCCTACGACCTATTCTTTCTTCTCTATTTTCCTTTTGTATGCCATCCATATGTTTTTGGGCTTGGGATGAGTGGTGGGAGAGACATGAAAGATATGTGTGATCAGCGAAGATAATTAGAGAGGCTTATATATTAGTTAAATAGAAGGGGTAACTCAGGACTCTCCCACAAAGAAAGTTAATGTTGGGATCAATTGAATTCCAAGCAATTGTGTGGTATTTGTCATTTCCTTATTTTCTTCTACATTTTTGGACTCTGTTCTTTTCATTGTTTTCTTCTTAAGTTGGTTATCATGAACACATGGCATAACATATGTTTACAAGGCTTCGCCTAAAAGCCATCTAACTTTTGCCACACCTGCTCTCTGTCTCTGTGACTGTTGATTGTAAATATTTAGTATTTGATTCTACAATTTCATTGTTTAGAAAGTTTTCAATTTGAGGAACCACACAGTCACACTGATCTTTTATGGGTATGTGGAAGTGACAAAAAAGTTGTAAAGTATAAAATGATTTTCCATACTCCTTTCTACAAATTCTTTTATGAGTTCTTATGTTTCTATTTATTTGATTTCAGGATCTTCTGATCTTGGCATGTATTCATCCAGAAAATAGAAGTAGCCTGACAAGCATGCATAGGGATGACAATGGGTCGCGTTTGCAAGGACCCAAGACCCAATCTGAATATTTTCTAATATCCAAGACCCGATCAGACCCAAACTTGTTTGGACCCAACGCTACCTGGATCCTATCCGATGAAGACCTGCAAGACACAATAAAGGCCCGAGGACCAAGGGTATGGAAAAAATTTATATATAAAAAATAGCAATGTTGCTTTGGTAGCAGGCAGTGGCGGCGTAGCAGGCAGCAGCGCTGGCAGTGAAAATGATATAAAAACCGTGATCTGACCTCACCCGATTGTTTTTCTACTGTACCCGACCCAAACCGGACGCAATACTCAAATAGTTGGACCCGATCTCAATTAAATGAATTGGTTTTGGGTTGTGTATTGGGTCAATCTGGACCCATTGCCCTCCCTAAGCATGAAGAATGGCTTGAATGGAGCTAAAAAGGCCAATTTGTGAAGCTTGAAAGAGGTAGAGGACTTCCTCCACAAACTTTTACACATTATATTAGAGTACTCAATGCTCCAAAAAGATGGTTGGAAGGTAAAAATCTTTGGCATTTATTACCTTTATACTTTTACTATTGCTTGGGATTTAATTCTTCATAAATAGAAAAAAAAAAAAAAGAAAAAAAAGGGAATTTTAAGGATCAATAAGGTAGTCTATTAGCAAAAGAAAATGGATTGATATGCAACTATATCGTTAATGTGTGTGATAAGTTACTATTGCTTGGCATTTAATTCTTCATAAATAGAAAAAAAAAAGAAAAGGAATTTAAAGGATCAATAAGGTAGTCTGTTAGCAAAAGAAATGGATTGATATGCAACTATAGCGCTAGTGTGTGTGATAAGAATAATCATATGATTTATCTCTGATGATGATACCAAGCAATTAAATCTATCTTTATTCATAGATCAAATTGGAAGTATATATTCACTTGACATTTGCATAATGTTTGTTTGTTTGTTTTTTTAGTTTTAAAATTCTTCTACCAATGAGCGAGTTTTTGGAGTCTATTAAGGTTGACACTGTGATAGGGGGATTTACGAACTCTGTTCGACTTTGGACCATGGAATTTTTTCAGCAAGTTTCCACTTATAGCAATATGTAGCCTAAGCGTCTTCTTTGAGTAAGTGCTGTAATAGTATAATGCTAAGATAATTATTAAATTGAATTAGAGTTGGAGTTGGACCACAATACGCAATCTAAATTTGAACTCCTGACAGATGTTCACTAAATAGAAACATCTGCATATCTTGTGAAGGATTTGCTTGGTAATATTAAGTACTCGTATGTTCATGACAGAGAAACTTGCTGAAATATTGCATTCATACCACATTGATGTTGCTATATTTAAAATCAGAACATAGACTATATTTTTTATTTTATTTTATATTTTTTAAGCTCCAAGGGTTACAAAAGGATCCAGGGTAGGAGGGGGAGCCGTGGAGGCAAAACTCTTCAATCTGACATAAAGGAGGGAGTACATCTACTAGGGAAAAAAATAAGATCCTTATTTTTATCTAAATTGTCAGCATTCTTATCAATAACATTTTTACATGTTAAATACAATTAACAATCAGTTTGTCAAAACTCGTAGGAGGAAATGAGAGATTGAGAGGGGAGAAAACACAGGAGATCTCGATAGAAGCTCTCTATGCTTAGCAAGGAAATCTGTAAGATTATTTCCACTTCTTGGAATGTGACGGAAGACAATATTAGTATTCTTGGAGATAAGAACTCCTTTTGGTTTGCCTTCTACTGTTTGTCCTTATTTATTGAGTTTGTTTTAACCTAGCCTTTTCGGTTAGGCTGCCCTTTAGGTACAGTGCATGAGGAAACATCAGCTCCTATCTCATCTGTTATTCCATCATCCACATTCCACAGATACTGGAGACTGGAGGACTCTCTTAATGTACATTTCTTTATTTTCATTCTTGTATCTGGTTTGGTTTATGGTAAGGTACTACATAGTTTATTTTTCATCGCGTTACATCTGCTTAAGTTTTTGTTTCATAGGTTTATTTGTTGTGTTCATTAGTTTAGCTAAGGTTAATTAGTGTTAATTCGATAGTTAGCATTGTTCATCTTTGATTGTGAGTATGTTTTAGCTGGAGCTAAGCTTAGTATTAATTCCAGTTTTAGCATAGGCTCGTGGGTGATTATGTGTTCTTTTTGTGGTTTTTGTTTTCAATTTTGATGCTCTGCTTTAGGTCTGTATCTGGCGCATGCTGAATTTTTAGTTTAGTTTTCAGTTGTCTGATGTTTTGTTGTTTTATCATGTCTTTTTTGCTGCTTAGCTTTTGTACTTGGTTTAGTTTTGTTTCATACTTTCATCTTAGCCTGCTTAGTTATGATTAGCTTTACCTTTGTGTTAGCTAATCTTACTTTTAAGTTTATGTTGTAATAGTGTTTTAGCTCCAATTTTATTTGCATTAGTTTAGTTCCAGCTTTTGTTTGTAGTGTTGATCTATTCATTTTTGTTTGATTGCTTATTCTTTCTTGTTGTTTTTCCAAAGGTTGATTCCATGTGGTTCATTGCTGGTCTCCATTGATTCGTAGTAAGTGTGAGGAGGAAGATGCGGGAAGTTTGAATTTCGAAGCAACAAAAAAACTAGAGTAGTTGATTCACTTCGTTGTTATTAATGTGTGTTTTCGAACCGTTTCTTGTTTTATTGTTGCTTATTTAAGCTAATTCGTATGGTTGTGTTGTGAGTATGTGTTCTTTTTGTGTAATTTTTATTTTGAATTTTGTTTTTCTGCTTTAGCTCTGCTGCAAACTGAGTTTTTAGGTTTTAGTTATGTCATTATGCTTTGTTGCTGCTTAGCCTTCGTATTCGGTTTAATTTTGTTTCACCTTAGGCTGTTTGTTTTAATTGGTTTTACCTTGTATTATCCAGTCTCAGATTTTTAGGCTTGTGCCATTGTGTATTAACTCAAATTTTATTTGCCTTAATTTAGTTCCAGCTTTTGTTTTTAGTGTTAATCTGTTCATTTTTTGTTTGATAATTCTTTTTTGAATGAAATTGTGATTGATGCGAACGCGAATTAACTTATGTCTTGGGGTTTTAATTTGGATCGGGCTTAGATTTATGTGGGTTTTATTGGTTGCATTCGATTCTTTTGATTTGGGGTTGAGATATGTGTCTTGCTACTTAGGAATAGGTTGTATTGAATTTTGTTTTGGATGATTAAATTGATGTTGCTAATGTTAGTAGACAATGGTTTAGAGAAATATATAAATAATTTTGAGATTGTTCGTTTTGATTTATATATAGTTAGGTTTGGGGGTTTGTAATTTGAGGTATTTTTAGGTTAGAAAAGGTATGCATGCTCATAGTATAAAATTAATATTATGTGTTGAATTATTGATTTTTTTTACTTCTAAAATATATTATATATATATATACACTGTGTGATTATGTTTATATATTGTGTTTCTTTTGTAATATTGAGTTTATCAAGTCATATTTGTAGTTCTTGATTTCATTATTAATTATATGTTACTTTGAAATTTCTGCAAATTATAATATGATATTAGAGTTTGTTTTATTGTGTACATTTGATTTGGAATGTTTTCCGAGGTCTTTTGATTTTGAAATCCGGCTGTGATTGTTAGCATATAAATTTTTATCAATTTTTTTTTAAATTTTAACAAAATATATGTTCGACATTTGATTGTTTTTTGTTATTCTATTCATAGCTCCGTTCGCAATTGCATTGAGAGTCACATTTTTTAGGCTCAACTCTTATAAGCAAGTTTTATTTTTTTCTCTGATTCGTTGAGTTTTGTCTGCGACTTTAGTTAACAGTATTGTTTCTGGTTTAATTTGACTCTACAATTTTGGCTGCAAACTCAAAATAGTTTTTTTGCGGTATTATTTGAGTTTGGAGGGCTATTACTATTCAATTTATAGTTTAGATTAGATATTTATTATATAGATTAGATTGGTTATATATATTATATAAGTCAATATAACATATATTTTATGAACCTATGATTTCATTGTAAATTATAGTTCATTCTGAAATATATGCAAAGTGCAACACAATACATTTTAATTCAATTAATAATCAACCAATATCTTTTACCACAAACGAAAGGGACAACCAAATAGACTCTTGTTAGCTGGTCTTATTTGTTATATTGTAAATTTAAATAGATATTTTTTTGCAAAAAAAACTAGTAAGTGTGTTTTTTTTAATATTTCTAATGTTAAGTATTTTTATCTGAATTATCAAAATATTTTAAAGAATAAGTTTGTTTATACTGTCAGTTCTAGAATTTTTTTGGCAATATTTATTAGTAATTTTTAAAAAAATATATATATATTATCAAATATTTGGCAAAAATATTATTTTTTTTATATTTTTTATATTTTTTAAAAACGTGAAAATTTTATGGCTAAAACAAGCGTAATACTTGTATGGGTTTCTTTATTTTTTAATGTTACTGTATATACAAACGCACTTTATATTTTCATTATTTGTTTATTTTTTAATTTTTTTTTATTTCAAGAAGTCCCAAATGAGCTAACCTGCTCATCTCCACCAAAGAAGCTATTGAAGGGTCGAAATATCTGCGGAAGGGTTTATCGGCGCCGACGAAGGTTTACGCTGTTGATTTCAGACCGTATCCTTTCTTGCTCGCTATTAATGTGTAATCACCCAACACTGTAGTGCTCTATGTGTTATCTTCCCTGCGATTCTGCATAAGAACTTTTAAAGTTTCCATGGAGCCCCAATTCTTAGTTTCCTCGCATATAGCTTCTCCTGCAATTAGTGCTCTTCCACTTGTGTCGTATAACTCGTCGCTGCTCCAAAGGCCCAAGCCTTGTTACTCCGCCTTAAGCTTATCGTATTCGTCGGAGAAGTTGCAGAGGACTCCTTTTTTGGGGCAAAGTTTAGGTTTAGCAGAAAAGATTAAATCTAGCAGTCATGGGAGACCTCGTTATCCTGTAATTACGGCCGGTGGTGCTGTGAAGAGGAGGAAAGAGCTTCCCTTCGATAATGTGATCCAAAGGGATAAGAAGCTGAAACTGGTTTTGAAGATTAGGAAGATTTTGATGAGCCAGCCGGATAGAGCTATGGCACTTCGTGATTTGGGGAGGTTTAGGAGAGCATTGGGGCTGGAGAAACGGCGGCGGTTTATTGCGCTGCTGAGGAAGTTTCCGGGGGTGTTCGAAATTGTGGAAGAGGGGGCGTATTTATTGAAGTTCAAGTTGACGTCGGAAGCAGAGAGGCTTTACCTTGAGGAGATGAAGATTAGGAACGAAATGGAGGAGTTGTTGGTTGTTAAGTTGAGGAAATTGTTGATGATGTCAATCGATAAGCGGATTCTTTTGGAGAAGATAGCACACTTGAGGACTGATTTGGGGCTTCCGGCGGAGTTTCGCGACACTATATGTCATCGATACCCGCAGTATTTCAAGGTCGTCGCAACGGGGCGAGGTCCGGCATTAGAGTTGAGTCATTGGGATCCCGAGCTTGCTGTGTCTGCAGCAGAGCTTGCGGAAGAGGAGAATCGTGAGCGGGAGATGGAAGAGAGGAATTTGATAATTGACCGGGCCCCAAGATTTAATCGAGTTAAGCTACCGAAAGGGCTTAGTCTTTCCAAAGGTGAGATGAGGAGGATTTGTCGGTTTAGAGATATGCCCTACATTTCGCCTTATTCTGAATTTTCAGAGCTGAGGTCTGGTTCAGCTGAAAAGGAGAAACATGCTTGTGGTGTTGTTCATGAGATTTTAAGCCTTACACTCGAGAAGAGGACGCTTGTGGATCATTTGACCCATTTTCGAGAGGAGTTTAGATTCTCTCAACAGCTTAGGGGGATGTTGATACGGCATCCTGATATGTTCTATGTGTCGCAGAAGGGGGATAGAGATTCGGTTTTCCTCCGGGAAGCCTATCGTGATTCGCAGTTGATAGAAAAGGACAAGATGTTGTTAATCAAGGAGAGGCTTCGTGCATTAGTAAATGTCCCGAAGTTTGGTAGGAGAAATGCTCTGAGAAACAATTCTGATGAAGCGAATGGAACTGGGCAAGCGGATGAATCAGGTGAAGATGAGGATGATGATGATGAATGGTCGGATATCAATAATCTAGAAAGTGATGGTGGAGATGACAAAGATGAGAACTCTGATGACGAATGGAACAGCGATGATTTTGACGATGATGGTGAGTATGATCTGCCTCCAGACTTCAACGATGAAAATTACGATTCCTTGCTGAGTTTCCAAGTTAGCAAACCAACTGAGCAAGCTAATGGCTCGACGAAGGGCGATGAAGTTCTTGAACCTGTATTTCCAGATGGCCGTCCAAGAGAACGCTGGTGAAACTGTAAAGAGAATAAGTGAGTTGTTGCATAAAATGCTTTACAAGTTTTAATTATGCATCTCTATTCGATTATGTGCTGTTTCGGATAATGTTTTTAATATTACATCATCTTTCTCCGTTGTTTCGATGATATGTGCTCTTCATATGAAACTTGCTTCTATGTTTAAGACATTATTCATCGGAGCTGGAAATTTGTGGAGAAATCTTTCATGTCTTTGTGATGCCTTTCTTGTTTGTTCAACGTACACACACACACACATACATATATATATATATATATTCGGAATTAAAATTTTACAGTGCATTATTCTCCATATACTATTCAAGTTGCCCAAACTTGCCTCCTCATGCTCAGATATGGTTAGCATTAACCCTTTAGGAGTATGAAAAGGAAATTGTATGTGGAAATTCATTGAATATGGAGGGTAACTGAAGGGGCAAAAGGGAGAACAATCATCCGAATCTATGAAAGAGAAGTTTCTTGATATTCATGCTAACTCAGATAGCTATGCTAGCAAGATATATTATCTCTGGATTACTTTGATTCTACTTATATATTTTTCATCTAGATTAGATGATAATTACCGTTGGATCTTCCTCCTGATTGAACACAGTTGATCCATGCTACAATTTGTGCAACTATCTTTTTTGTTATTCTATTACCGAATATGGTTCTTTCTATTTGCTTCCTTAATTTTTCTTGTTATGACTCGTTATGCAATACTTACTCATTGCTAAAGCTTTATGTGCTTTATTATGTAAAGTGATACAGTAACACAACCACCCACTCCAAGATTTGACTTGTTTTTATTTTCTTTTATGGTTCATTTGACACCAATATTCATCACTAGTCTTTAGAGAATTCGTATGGAGATTGGAGGGTGGGGACCAAAGAATTTATCAGCTGGTTTTGTTTTCCCCTTCCCCCCTTTTTTAAGATTAGAATTGTATAATAATTGCTAGCTACTTTAGCCTGAATTTTACTTGTTGTATTGGCAATTACAGAGATGGATGGAATTGCATGATTGTAAAGTGATGAGCAAGCCCTATGTTGGTTAAGTGAATTTATTCCTTTTTGGTAGGATTCTGTTGATCGAAAGGCAGTACACATAAGCTGAAATTCTTTAATCTCATGCATTCCTTGTGTTGCCAATAAACTTGGAGAATTAGGTCAGCCAGAAGCAGCCCTCTCCAAATACTAATTATCTTTGGGAAGCCATGTTCCATGCAAAAAGAAGTCACCTTGTTTGTTTTTTGTATCTGACTGTGTAATAAATTACAGATTCTGATGCTCGACTTATATATATATATATATATCCCTTCTGTTCTTTTAACTGTACATGCTCATGACAATCTGCTGCATCCTTGCAAGTTAGTGGCTACGTGATTGAAGAATCGAATGTGGTGAATAGTTGACATATATATATGTAATAAGTGTTTATGTGCTTGAAAGAGAGAGAGAGAGAGAGAGAGAGAGAGAGAGAGAGATGCTTTATTTATTCTTGTTGACTTGTGTAGTTTAGATTCGGGGGGCATATTCTTGCTTTAAAATTTATCGATATAATGCAGCAGCAGGTTCACAGCAACTCGTGTCTGTTATCCAGAATCATCAAATGCATCTTTGTTAGGCTGCTCGGCTCAAAGATAGTTAGGCCCCACCCCACTGTGTCGTGCTCTGTTTTTCTGCCTACCTATAAAGAAAGGCCCCTCTCTCTTTGCTTGTGCATCACACACCACACCTCTTCTTCTTGTTGTTGTCGAAGTTTGATTCCTAATTAGACCTTTCGGGAGAGAGTTAATAAGCTATGCATTTATTATGTCTTTGTTTGCAGCAGGAGATGTCGGGATGCGCGAGCAACCAGGATACAGTCTGTTCTCTCTTCCTCAAAGGTTTCTGGTGGCGGCAGCAATCTACACATATATATATATGTATGTATGTATGTATGTAGATACGAGAAACCTTTGAAGGGGGGAACAGAATACGTCTTGGTATGGAAGTGTATGTCGACGATGTTTGTGGTTAGAGGTGAGTACTGTTCCATCCAATGCTCTATGGTTTTAGTTATTATTGTTATCATTACTTGTTAGAGTGTTAAGAGGGAAGTAAGTTTAAGTTTATTCAGTGTAATTGCCAAAGATAAACCATATCCATATTAATCAGAAATATGAAATCCCATGAATCAAGCTCTTTGGATTACAGTTTCTATCTTTCTTTCAAGGCTTGACTTTGAACAGTTTGATTTATTACATAGAAAAGAAAAATCAGAAGTAGTTAGTCATCACATATTGGAAGTATTGAAGCTCAAACATGATAACCTAGTAATTGTTCATTTAGTAATCATTCTGGTGTTTTTATCACGGATTTAGAATCAGAAATTTTAATTTGTTGTCTACTTCAGTGCCCCAGGAGAGTATTTATTTATACTATTAGTAGTATTCGGTGTATTACATTAATTCATTTATTTATTCACTTTCCTTTTTTACTATTTTCCTTAAATTTATCCAATTAATAATTTTAATAAAAATCAACCGAACAATATTTAATTATTACTTTCTATTTACAACAAAAATATGACTATCTTTATTACATTACTTTTATTTAGTTCCTAACTAAATTTTTAAAAATATCACTAATTACTTTTTTATTTTTATTACATTTTCAATATCTTAATCCGTGTTGAGCTCAAGTGTGTTAATTTACCATACCGAGGGAGTACTATTTATTATGTAGTGTAAAGCATGAGAATTTGTGCTTGTGTTAGATTTGATCCAAAGAGTAGTCCTGAACTATAATTTTTTTATACATATTTGATGAATAATCTATAAAAACGATTGCTTTAAAAATAGAGAAATGGACAAAAAAAAAAAAAAAAAAAACCTAAAAAATTACTTTACCCCAATAAACTATCATTGTCATTTAACATATGACTCTGTTGAGTTTATTTGTTAGGGGAAAGAGTCGAGCCAAGCTAATTAACAAAATCTTTCATTTTGACATGTCATGTCTACTAAACAAAACGACATGAAATAGTTACTGTTATGAACACTTCATTTCAGTAAAAGGCAAGAAAATCAAATAAAATTAGGTCTTCCATTACATACTAGTATCACCTATATAAACCAAATATACGATGATCATTGTATTGATTTGAATGCAAGTAGTATTGAAGTAGGAGAGAGAGAGAGAGAAAGGTGTACCTCTCTCTCTTGTCTCTACTTGGACCTCAAACCAGGTACATTTTTCAGACCCATTTTGCCAAGAACCATCTTGGAGATCGCCGGAGGGTTGTCCATTCCCATGCTCCGGCTGAACTCGTTCGCCAGCTCCACCAGCCGGCATTTATCGCGACCCACATTTTTGTTCGAGTTGTAGTACCCCAGCCATGCCTGATACGCCGCTTCTTTGTTCTTCACCGCCACATGGGACAACGCTCGTTCCACCTGCAAACTTTACGTTACATTCTGTCCAAACATAAATAACTAAATAAAAAGTTTTCGATCCATTACCTTTGTGCGGGTGTCTGGATCAATCAGTGGCTCTGGTGCTTTAGTTATCGGTAAGTCTTTGACATTGGACAGGAAGAACTCCTCCCAGGGTGCCAACAGCAATATGCCCTGTCCCTCTTTCCCTTTACGCCCTGTTCGACCCAGCCGATGAATGTACTGCTGTCGATCTGCTGGGACGCCAATCTACAATTTGCAAATGGAGTTGAGGGAGGACAGTAAACAATATTGACCTAAATGAGTATAGTATAGTATACTTTAAGTGACAAGTGTAATTTTTTTTTATTTTTTACTCCTTGGTGCGTAAATAGCCTAACCTGTATAACTTGAGTCACGTCCGGGTAATCAACACCGCGGGCTGAAACATCAGATGTGACGAGGATAAGGCCTTTTGACTTTCGGAACTCATCAGAAACTCGGGTTCTGTAACTTTGAGGCTTTCGGGAGTGAATCTCCCGAACATTTAAGTTTAGCTCGCTGAGAAACTCGGCAACGAGTCTTGTTACCATTGCAGTTGTGCAGAAAACAAGAATCTGTTGCACACAAACAATTACAGAATAGCTTATTAGCCATTTTCAAATGTCTTAATTAAATATATAACTACATATAGGGATGATTCACAATAGATGTAAATGGTACTTGAATTAAGGAATTTTTGATACCTTATAATTAATATCATCGGAAATATGCTCTTTTAGGAGAGCATAAAGAAGCGAAAAGTGTTTATCCAAAGGAGCAACCATATGCCTTTGTTGGACCTAAAAAGGTTAAACACAAAGTCCGGTAATTCAAAAGAGCACAGCAATAAAAGACACTAAAAGAACACAGTGAGCATCCATCTTACCTGTGCATGAGTATCTTCAGTTCCTTCTTGTACCGTGTTTATGAATTCATGATCTCTTTTTAGAGCAATATGGCAAATTTGACGAACCTGCGTTGCAAGGTGTTCTAAGTATTTACTCATGTCAAGAGAAAGGCACCTTTTATGAGGAATACTACCTCAGAGGGGATTGTAGCAGAAAACAGAAGTGTTTGGCGCTGTTTGGGAACAGCAGCTATTATTTTCTCTATTTCTTTGCGGAATCCCATGTCCAATAAATGATCAGCTTCGTCGAGGACCAACACTTTAACTCCCATGAGACGGGTGGCAAATCCAGGTGTATTCTCTACATGATCTCTAAGTCGTCCAGGCGTTGCCACAAGTATCTGGGGTTTGAATATTTAAAGATACATAGCATCCAACAAATGAAAATTAACAAATAGTATAGAAGACCAATGGGGTGCATTTACTACATGGGAGAGGAAAATTATTTGATCTTAGAGGGACTAAATAATCCCCTACAATCTCACATAGTAGACACACCACAAGGGAGTTGGCTGATACAAAAAGTCATAATAAACTGCGAGCATTTCATTTAGTTTGTGCTTTATAAATGGAATTGAAATATAAGTTTTTAGCACACCACCAGTTGATAGACCTCAATTCAAACTGCCTTTTGGTTAAACCTCGAGGAATTCTATCATGTGAGGTTTCTGGTTGACTCACAATCACACCCCAAACAAAGTTCAATGTCTCAGAGAACAGATTGATGCATTTTTATTCAATACCTAAGATTTTAAAAATAAAAATGTAACACAGTAACACACAAATGAGGACAGAAATTATATGCACATATATTCACTACAGATCTAGAGAGAAAAAAATAAATTATATTTCATCAAGTGAAATAGATAATAGTTTGGCTAAAACTCAATGACAATGACAAAGTACACAGCTTACCTGGCATGGGTTGGCTTGCATTCGCTTTTGTTCCAGAGCTAGCCGTGTACCTCCTATGACAACTTGAACACCAATTGAAGGATGATACTTCAACAAGGTGTCAGCCTCTTTAGCAGCCTGTGTAGCAAGCTCTCGAGTGGGGCATATAACAAGCACGTGTATAGGAGGTCGTTTTTGATCTCGAGTGATCGGGGGCGACTTTACTACAAGTTCAATTGCAGGAAGCTGAAATTGAAAGAGAGAATCTAAAAGCATTGAAGATAGAAGCCTGAACTTATTCCAGACTCAAATTCTACTAACTATATCATTCAATAATTAATGTCCAAGTGATAGACATATTTTGTCTATGTATATTGTCTTCCAATACGACATGCTGCTCCAAACAAAGGATTTTATGCAAGAAAATTTTTTTGTAGAGCTCCAAACCCAAACAATCTATCACTCAGTTAGTCATCAATTCAGCTGCTTTACGACTACAATATTTCATATAAGAAAACTGTCTTGATGCTTCAGAGATGGCTTATTGTGAAACCGACAAGTAGTGGAGTAATATGAAACTCAAGTTCACACATTTTTGCCATGTTTGACTAGAAGATATAGATGAAAACAATATAGAATATAAAATTTTGGAGCATTACCAAAAAGGCTACAGTTTTCCCAGTCCCAGTTTTTGCCTTGGCCATCACATCCTTTCCTGAAACATACATCAGCCATGAGAGGAATTAGAGATAGCAATATGCCAGGCCTAATGCATGCAAGGGTACAAATCCTACAATTTTAAAGAAAGTAAAACACGACAGAAAATAAAAAATATAACATACTTACCCATTAAAGAAAGTAAAACACGACAGAAAATAAAAAATATAACATACTTACCCATTATAGCCACAGTATGTTCATCATATATCAGCCTTATCAATGGTAATGATATTTTATATAGAAAAATATTTCCAACACTGCAGAGAAATCAAATCTTTTGGTATTCTAACTATTAAATCTAGCAAGGAAGATTTAAACCTTATCTTAGTTACTACAAAAGAACAAAAATAAAAAAATGGGAATTTCATTTCAGCAATAAGTAGTTTTAACTCATGTGTATGATTAAAAGTAAAACACTTTTAATCTACCTTTCAGAATAAGCGGAAGTGTTGCTTCCTGTACCAAAGTCATCTTTTCATATCCAGCATCTTTAATTGCCTTCTGTGTCAATGGTGAGAGGGAATACTGATCAAACCTGTAGAGATTTCACATTAAAATTTTGCTTGAGAAGGCCCTTTCTAACCAACAATTCTTACAAAAAGGAACATTGAGACTTCCACTGATTGTGTATTCAGTATTAACTATTTGCAAACTCTTTACAGTACTAATTTCAGAATAGTATCTTCTAGCAGGCTAACATTAAGACTAAGACTAAGTCTGTGGGGACGGCCTATTGACTACCAGATCAAATTCCGTGAATTGCCAAATGAAAAGGCGTGTATTTTTTAAAACCAGACAATTCTCTTATGTTTCCAATTTCCTAATTCAAAGACCACCAACCATTCTGCATGGCATATTCTACTGCGCTCCTTCCACCAAACTAGCACTCAAAGCTGAAACCTTTTTTCTACAAAATGATATAGAAAGATAACACAACAATGAATGTACACAAAGGAAGATTCCAATATGACCTGCTTTCACTAAGGTAAGAATCAGATCTTCCAGGTGAGCTTTGAGGCGACTGGGAAGAACTAACTTTCTCAAACAACCCTTCTTCCCCCACATCCTGATCCTTGTCGTCCTCATCTTCGTCATCGTCGTCATCATCATCATCATCCACTTCGTCACTGTCAATCAACTCTTTGAAACTGTTATATCCCTTATCCTCCTCCTCCTCTTCCTCCTCCTCATCTTCAACAATCAACGATTTTCTACCCATCGATTTCCCTTCTTTCTTAACCCCTAAACTACCCCAATTACTGCCTCTATCCCTTCCCTTTCCATACGTCGTTTCCCCGCCTCTCCCACTCTGCCTCCTCTCTGTCCTCTCCCCGTATCCCCTGCCGAGGAAATCATTACTACTCCCTTTCTTCGTCTCCTCCAAACGGCCCCCAAACTTACGGCCCTGGTCTCTCCAACCTAAGGAAACTTGGGAGCCATTCTCATCCCTCCTCCTCCCTGAGAATGGTTCTCTAGACCTGCCGCCATCTCCCCGCCTTTTGGGATAGTCAAAATTACCGGAGCTGCGGCTCCCGCTCCTTCGCCTATTCGTGAGGTCAGAATCCTTATCGAAGTCACTCTCCCTCCCTCTCTTCCCACCTCTGTCTCTACTCCTAGAACCTCTATTAACATCATCTGCATCGTTCTCACTATCACTGTACATTCTCGTTTTCTTAAACGAACTGGAACTCAACCCACTAACCCAGTCGCTTAACTCGGCCTCATCCTCGATTAAACTCTTGGACGACAATCCTGCTGGCGCATCATTTCCAGTCCTTCCCCGGCCCGAGCGCGTGGAGAAGTTGCTTGTCCCGAATGAAGCTCGACTCGGCGGTTGGCTTCTGGATAAAAGCAACTTCCTATGTAATTTTTGGTGGCCGACGAATTGATATTTCAGTCTGTGGGGAAAAATCATGGAAATAAGAGGTCTGGTAACGGGGTGAAATGGAGAAATTTTGCACAGCATTGTGGAAAGATAAGAATTTTCAATACCTGGACGAGCTAGGGTTTAAGCTCGTTCTCACCCAATCTCTATTCTGACACAGTAGGGTTTAAGCTGTTTCCGGCTCCACTTCACCAAAAGCCCATACGACGTCGTTTATGGTCGCTCTAGGCAAGGCGCACCTTTAATTATCAGTTGGGCCTAATCAATCGGCCCGGCTCGGCCCATTAGTGAGTTCGGGCAGCCTAATAGAGGGGCGGTCAGTAGCAGGCCACGATTCACCACTGAGAAATTGAAACGTGTACAGGGCAGCCCGACCGCGACGGGTCGGGCCAATTTGACAATGATTCACATAACTCGCTGTCATTGGCTGCTCTGCTCTGCACAAAACAAAACAAAAACACAACCTACAATTCACCTCTTCTACTGCTCTCTCACTTTATTTAAATTAATAGTACTATTTTTTTATGTAAAATATAGTAATTAATAAATAATTAAAAATATATTTTTAAAAATAATATTATTATTTAATTAAAAAAAAATCTATTAAAAGTTCATAAAAAAAAATAGTGGTAAGTTAGTAACTACTACTATTTAATAAAATTAAAATAAATAAAATTATGAATAAATAAAAGATAAAATTGCTTATAACTTCTATGTGTGTTCAAAATTCAGCTTAAAATCTCTCTTTACTTTAAAAATTGCATGGTACCTCCTTATACTTAAAAAAACGTTGCATGAAACCCCACCACCATGAAACTTTCCTCGTGTGATAAAAAAATGATTTCCTATTTATATATTTTGCATGGCATGTGGGTTTTATGCAATATTTTTTAAAGTATAAGTAAGCGTCATGCAATTTTTTTAAAATAAAATGAGAATTTATGCTGAGTTTCGAAACCACAAAGTGGTTTCATGCAACATTTTTTAAAGTATAAGGGACGTCACACAATTTTTAAAGTAGAGAGAGAATTTACGCCGAGTTTCGAAACCACAAGGAAATTATAGGCAATTTTCTGTAAATAAAATGGAGCTATTAAAAAAGAAATAAAAAAATAAGTGTGATGAACAAATAAAATATAATTTATTTAAAATATTATTTTAGTTAAAACTTGATTTATAAATAGATGGTATCTCTGTCTTATATGCATTGTGTTAATTAATAATTAACATTCAGGGTTATCTCATCTAAGTGCAATTAGAAATTTTTATTTGTTCTTTCATTCGTTAAAATACTATCAAACACTTCACTATTTCTTCTACTAATCCAAAACCAAAATTACTTTAAAATTTTCATCTTAAACAAACTCATTTATTAATACTATAATTCTATTTTTTAAATTTGTATTATTCATTAATTTTTGAAAAATATTTATTTTTTCTTATCAAATACTTCATCTATCTGAAATAATTTGTTCACTCTTTCCATTTCGGTCGTCCTATGTCATTCTTTTTTATTAAAAATATAATTATATAATTTAATCATGTTTTAAAATTCATAATTTATATATATTTTATTTTAATACACTATTTAATTATTTTAATCTTAATTTATAATTATTTATATTATATCGTAATTATTTTTACTAATATATTTTTTAATTACTTACTAATTACATAATATTTAAAACTCTGTGCGCCGATAAAGTAAACAAATTAGCGAAAACGGAGAGAGTGTCAAATTAAATACTAGTATAAATTGTAATTATTTTTTTTTTAAGAAAAAACTTTTATCTAAACAAAACTCTCAAAAACAATCTCATCCAACTAACTAAATACATAGGGTGTGTTTGTTTTGTATTTTTATTTTTAAAAATATTTTTTTAAAAACATATAAAGAATTATAGTATAATAATATGTACGTATTATGTTATTATTATTATTTTTTTTGAAAAAATATATTGATAAATTTTGGTAAAATAACAAAGCTATATTCCCTCCATTCCACACTTAAAATGTCTACATTTTTTATTTCAGTTCCTCTCTCATACTCTATTTTAGAAATATAATGATATAATTTAATCACGTTTTAAATATCATAATTTTTTAATTTTAATTAAATTATATAGTTATTTTAATTTTAATTAATAACTATTTTTATTATATACTTTTTAATTATTTATTAATTATATTTTATCTAAAATTTTGTATTTACAATAATTCCTAATTTATCCAGGACGGGAGTTTAATATAAACTATTTTTATTACTCCCTTCGTCCCATGTAATATGGGTGTATTATTGTAGACACGAGAATTTAGGTAAAATATAATTAGTAAGTAATTAAAAAGTGTATTAGTAAAAATTATTATTATTTAATAAAAATAATTATAGATTAAGATGAAAATAAATAAATAGTTTAATTAAAATTAAAAAAATTATAAAATTTAAAATTTAAAATGCGACTAAAGTGCATAATTATAATTCTGAAAATAGAAAGGATAAGTTATATGGAACAAACGAAAATAGAAAATAAGGACAAATTACGTGGGAATGAATATTTTTTACACAGTATTAAAAAAAAAAAAAAAAAAAAAAAAAAAAAAAAAAAAAAAGAAATCTTACAGTTAGTTGGGTTGGGTGTCAGAAACAGATGGTTGGTCAGTAGTACATTACAGTTAGCAAATTACGGTACAGAAGCCACCCTGTCAAGAATTTTCACTTCATTTTAATAATAATAATTATTATTATTATTATTATTATTATTATTATTATTATTAAAATTATTATTTCCTTCCTTTCCCGAATGGAGACAGAGAGCATACATATCTCACGAATAAATTAGTACTCTCTTTGCAAAATGTGCTGTTTAATAGGATATAGCAAATTAAAAAAATTAAAGTTTTAATATAAAATAAAAGTTATGTAAGTATATTTTAGAAATTTTATTAGAAAATATTTAATTGATAGCAATATGTAATGTACTATAGTGGCAATGCTACTTTTATGTGTTTAAATTGAGAGCGAATTTTAAATAAATAAAAAGGTTATTGTTATCTAAAATATAAAAATAAATTTGAAAAAATAATACTTAAATATGAAAATTATGTATAAACTCTATTTGGGGCGGATGTAGGAAGTAAGGTCCGTTGAAGGTATGTATTTTTTTAGGTGTGTTTGTTTTCTATTTAAAATACAAATTATTACTATTAAATATGTATGTTTGTAATACAAATGTATTATTTTTTTTATAAATTATTTTAATAAAATATTATTTAAATCAAAATTTTAAATTAAAATCAAACTGTCTTTGAACAAATACTACAAAGTTGGTTACTTTTTAAAGATTGCCCGAAAAAAGGACATAAATTTTAAAATCAATAGGCAATAGCTTTACAGAATAATTTTGTTGCCAAGGCACAAATAATGATTGACCACCTATTCTCGGAAAGTCCCGGCACCCCAAGAACCACACGGTATGGATCTTTCTGTGCCTCATTTGGTGTTGAGGTCCTGGGTCCCGAGAAAAACATTTTCAAATGGACAGTGGTCCCGGACTGCGGCCCATACATTACCGCAGATCCGTTGATGGGGAAGGATATCCTGTAAAGTGACGCCTACGTAGTGTCAAGACCGCGTTTGGATTGAGCTGTAGAAATATAATAGTATTGATTTGAATTTTGTTTAAATAATATTTTAATATTATATTTTTGTAAAAAAATAATATATTTTTATTAAAAACTGAAGTCGACAATGTTTATTTCAATCTGAAATCACAAAAAAATAAGTGTTTTTTTTTATCAAAAGTTTTCAAAAATTTACTATTTGAATTTGTATATTTACCGAAAATAAATACGTACCTTTTTATATAAAATATTATTTTAATATCAAATTCAAATTATTTTTTTTTTAAATCAAATCTAAATAATACATATCTTTTTATATAAAATATTATTTTAATATCAAACTCAAATTATTTTTTTTTTTAAAATCAAATCTAAATAAAACACACATTTGGTTGGAATTGTCAAGAATTTACTATTTTTTTTCCCAAAAAACACTAGATCAAATACTTATTTTTTTATTTATATTGTACTAAAAATTAATTTTATATTCAAAATATAATATTAATACATATTTATATTACATCATATAATTATTAAAATTTAACTTTCTTATTATTCAAATTTCAACAAAATCTAAATTCTCAACCAAACACAACTAAGATGTTAAATATAAGGAAGTGTGTGGTTATATATATATATATATTAATATTATCGACCGTTCATATACTAGCATATCCAAATCATAAAAGAAAATGGCATTACGTTCAATTATTTTGGTGTAACATTTAAAATATCTAGACTATAATAAGTATTAGTATAATAAAATAAACATATTTATATTTTATCATCTCAACCTTCTCAATTTATATATACTATTTTCATGGCAGCCCCACGAATCATTCGCCAGGTGATACATCATAGGCACAATGAGGCTACTATGAAATATTTATTCATGTATTTATTTTTTTTGTTAAACAGATTCAAATATAATAGCAATATTTTATTAATTAGTAAAAGTGTGTAAATATATGTTTATTTATCAAAAATTTTAGATTTCTACTATTTATCAAATTTGTTTTCTTAAAAAATATCAAATCAAATATTTTGTTTTTTTTTTATATATTATATTAAAAATTAATTTTACATTCAAAATATCATATTCATACATATTTATATCTCATCATACAATTATTTAAATTCAAAATTTTTACTATTAAAATTCCAACAAAAAAAATCCAAAGCCTCAAGCAAACACACCCGAAGATAATTTTGATATTTTCGCCATTAAAAGTACAAAACAAATTGAATAATTTTGGTAGAAGGTGTGAAAATTTTAGTATGTAAATATAATTGTTTCTAATGAATATTTTTGGATGATACATATAAAAATAATAATAATATTAAACAAAATGAATTGGGATAAAGAAAATATATACTTAATATGAAAAAAAAAATTGTAAAAAAAAAAAAAAAAAAACATATAGAAGTTTATTGAAAATATAAAATAAGTAATTAAGGGTGTGCTCCACTGCTCCTTTGTCCCATGGTTTTGAAAACTTAGGGTGCGTTGGTATGGGAAATTCCCCAAATTCTATTGTTTATTATTCCCTTTTTTTAAAAAAATATCAAATTAAAATATTTATTTTTTTTATTTTTTATATTATTCTAAAAATTAATTTTACATTTAAAACATCACGTCAATTCATATTTATTACGACATCATACAACTATTACCATTTAAATTTTTTACTATTCAAATCTCAATTCAAAATCCAAACTCTCAAACAAACACGCACTAAGTGCAGTGCAAAATAGGCGCGAGACCGAAGGGAGTGTTTGCTTGGGGGATTGGATTTAGAATACACTATTTATCCTATTTTTTCTTCCAAAAATATCAAATCAAATCAAATACCTATTTTTCATTTTTTATATTATACTAAAAATCAAATTTACATTCAAAATATCACAACAATACCTATTTATATCACATCATACAACTATTCAAATTCAAAATTTTTACTATTCAAATCCCAACTCAAAATCCAAACCCCCAAACAAACACACGAAAATTGAAGCTTTAGCTGGGTTTGACATATTTTTCTATTTCGAGCAGACATTGAAAAAAAAAATAAATAAATACTACACAATACATCCCACTTTTTATTTTATCTACTTTAAGTTTAATTTCTTTTAATACTCCCTCTGTCTCAATGAAAAGTTACCATTTTATATTTTCCATTTTCGTTCGTCCCAAAATAAGGTTACTATTTCCTAATTTAGTAATTGTATTACCTATTTCACATAATAAATACCCTTTCAACTTACAATATATTATATAAATGTCATTACTTTTATATTACACCATACTAATAGGGGTATTTTTGTCTTTTTTATTACAATCCAATATAATACTAATATTAAAAAATCTACGTGCAAAAAACAAACGCCACTCTTGTTGCGGGACCGAGGGAGTAATAAAAATTATACAATTCACAACATTTTTTTTCATGATTTTAACTTTAATTTAATTGTTTATTATTATTATTATTTTGTTATATTACACATTTACATCACTGCATTCATTACCTATAAAAACAATATGCATAAAAATTTCTAAAATCAAAACAAACCTACGAACTCAAAGGGAATACATATTCCCAAACTTATCTTAAAAAATTAAAAATAAATCAAATCTCTCTAAATTTTTACAAAAAGAACGCCACTAAAATATTCTTTTAACTTATTTGACTATTGAATGCAAATTCAATGATTAAAACACCATTACAATACTTTGATGTAATTTAATTAGCACTAGGCATCTACACTAGCTAGATTTGTTTGTATAAATTTTAGAATTTTGAAGACCTTTTTAGAAAAAAATAAATAATAATAATTAGGCGTTTGATACAGTACTTTATATATATAAAAATAAATATTTAAAATATTAATTGTTAATAAATAATATTAAAATTTAAAATAATGTGTACGTACGTAAGCATAGCTACACTTAAAGAAATATTCCTAGGGAAACAAGTGAAGAGAATATTGAGAGGACCATAATACTATTATTGATGGTATAACCAAACAACAAACAATTTGGTGGTATATCCCTATGTCACTTTCTTAATACACTTCAAAAATATTTTATATAACTAAATTATATTTTTTTAACAATAAATAATAAAAAAAAGTATTTTAAATTTATCATATGTTTAATCAAATTATAAATATTAAACAAATACATTATAGGTATTAGAGTCTGTTTGACGTAAGAGTACACACAATATCCATGCAGTATGAAATTTATACCCCCCAAAAAAAAAAAATGTAATCAGATACAGTTGTGTAATACTTATAACCCAATTATTGGTACAGGTAATATTTGTTTTGTAAGATAAAATTTAAACAAATAATAATAATTAAGTCCAAAGTAGTTATCATTACAAGAATATTAATAATAGTAAAAAAACCAATAAATAAATAATGTTGGAAGCCCAGTTTAAGCAGTTAGTAGAAAGAGATAAAAATAGTGTAGTGTGTGTGTGTTGTAATTATAGAAAGCGTAGTTGAAGCAATGATTTAGGTTTGCAATAATTGAGGCCAAAAAATAAAATAAAATAAAATAAAATTCTTGGTCAATTTTGATTTTAAATGAAAACAAAAACCCAGCCCCAAAAGCACAGCTGCAATTTGGTCAGCGTACAGATTTTTTATTACTATTATTATTATTGTTATTATTATTTTTTATTTTTTAATTATTTCTCCCATTCCTCTCCCCCTTTCTCTTCTCTTTTCTTCTTCTGCTTTCTTTCTCTTCCCTTTCACTTTCTACAGTTCACACAAACTTATCATCACCACACTCCTCTTCCCCTGCGACAGCACTGCAATTAAACCACAATTAAACCTCTCACAGGATTTCCCATACCTCCTTACATACATTTTCTTTCCAGATGCAAACCCTCCATGATTCCAACCACCAACAGTAGCTGCTTCTGCTGCTGCTGCTGCTTTATGGTACCCACTCTCTTTGCAGCAAAATTGAATGCTCAGCTTTTCAGGAATTGTAATTAGGTTTTTGATTTTTTAATTTTTAATTTTATTTGCTTCAAAAAATGCAGCTCTGGGAGGGTTTTGAGAAGTTTTCTTGAGTTCTTGCTTCGCGCAGCCTGTTCATCTCCTAGGTTTTGTTGGTTGGGGTTTCGATTGATGATTTATTGTGAATCTGGTGTCGATTCTTTTCTGGGGTTGTGTAATTTGTCGATACGATGTTAAAAGTTGGACCTTTCTGACGTTTCCAGGGGAAAGCCATTTGAAAAGGTAATTTGTTTTTTTTTTTTGTTTGTAAAAAAGTGGCTTCGTTTGTGGGTCTTTTAAATGATATTTTGATGATGTACTGTTTCGGATTCTGTAGATCTTTTCGATGCTTAAGGGGAGTTGGAATTTTAGCTTTCAACTTATGATTCGGATTGGGTGTAGATTTTCACTTAGATTTAAAGATTTGGAGATCTGGCAACTTTATTCCTGCAGAATATTATAACAAAAGGTTAGGTTAAAATAAAGAAAAGGAAGTGTTTTGGGGTCTTCACAAATTGGAATTGTCCCTGCAGAGATATTCTTTTTAATTTTTGCACTGATTCAAGTTCTGCTTAATGATGAGTAATTTGATTGTGATGAGTTCTTGAAGATGTGTTTCCGAATCCCTTAAAATGTTGTATGAGAATGCTTGAGTTGTTTGTAAGATATGCCCTGAAAAAAGTTTTGGTTTTAGAGGTTCTTTATCATGTAGTTGATTATGTCGACGAATAATTAATTAGCTGCAAACAAAAAGTCACCTTTACTTTGTTTGAGTTCTTCTGAAGCAACTTGATTGCTTTCTACAGAACTACTTGAAATTTGGTGTTGTAGGTGAGATTGAAGTTTAAAAGAAAATAAATTTTGAAGTACATTTTGCTTGAAAATTTTGGGGAAAAATATCTTCTTGACTAAGAGGATATAAAAAGATTTGATTATGAATAAGGGATGGACTTTTCGTCGAAACAGATCTTGCTAAAGCTCGGATAATCATTGCTGTCGGATATTCATTTTTATTGGAAATTGGTTGTCTTATTTGCCTGATTTAAGAATACTCTAATCCTTGCCTTAACTACTACTTGTGAATGGATTACGTGCCGCTGGACTTTTGTGTTAGGTGGTGAATGGAGAATCATTGTCAGCTTTCTCTTAGCTAAAATGCAGAAGGTACGATTCAAATTCTTTAATGTTTATTTGGGATTGTTGATTCGATCTTGATTACTAGGGTGTTTGGTTAAAGATATACTTTAGTTGAATAATGCTTTTGTGAACTGAAAAACTTCTTACAGGATCAAAAGATCTTACAGGACATAAAGCCAAATCATGTTTCACATGATTCGCAAACCGAACAGACAAACAATGCCCCTGATGCTCCTGTACCGGATTCCGGGTCAGTTTCGGGATCAAGCAACGACAATCGAAAAGTTTCCCGAGAAGATATTGAGCTTGTGAGCTATCATCATCATCATTATCATCATCCTTGTCCTTTCTTTATTCTTTTTGTTATTTTGTCGGGGGACTTTTTGGACTGCAATTCTCAACGTGGAACCACTGTTTTAACGTGCTGTAGGTTCAGAATCTAATAGAACGATGCCTGCAGCTTTATATGAATCGAGATGAGGTGGTGAAAACCCTACTGAATCGTGCTAGGATAGATCCCGGTTTCACAACACTAGGTTTGTAATTTTGTCTCAAATTAACCTTTCCTAAACTGTCTGAAAATTTCTTATCGTCAATCTTGTTTGTGTTGCCATTCTTCTCTTCGAATAGTGTGGCAGAAACTCGAAGAAGAGAATGCCGAGTTCTTCCGAGCTTACTACATACGGCTTAAATTGAAGAAACAAATTATCTTATTCAACCACTTGCTCGAGCATCAATATCACCTAACGAAGTATCCGGTGCCCCCTAAGATTCCTCTAGCCCCGATGCAAAATGGAATTCATCCAATGCCTGGTAAATATCGTTCGCCATATTCAGCGCTGTAATTACAGAAAATTACATTTTTCGTTCGCTTTCGCCGTCGATATTCTTTGACTCGTCTTTGCAGTGCAGTCAACAACTTACCTGTGGGATATCCCGTCATTCAGCACCCTCCGCTGCCTGCGACGGGACAACCGCATATCGATCCTATGGGCTATTCGGCACCCGGCTGCCACATCGTCAATGGAGTTCCCGCCCCGGGAAATTTCCATCCGATGCCAATGAATTCTGGAAATGAGTAAGAAACACTTCCACCTGACTCTATTTATTTCAATTTTCTTTCTCCTCAAGATAATTTTGTGTTCTTTGTAGTATGGTTATCGACACTACTGCAGCTGACGTGTCGCCTGTTATGCCGCCGAACAACGGAATGTCATCGATGTCGGATGTGCCCGTGAGCCCGACATCTGTCGCATCGAGTGGCCATTTTCCGTTCAGTGCGTCGGAAATTTCTGGAATTGGAGTCGATGCTTCAGCGCTCGATTCTGCATTTACATCTGATGTCGCGAGTTCAGTAGGGCTTCAGCTTCCTCCAGATAACGGAGCTGGGAATTCGAGAGATTCCCTCGGATCCTTGGGTCAGATTCCGTGGAATTTTAGCCTTACAGACCTCACTGCAGATTTGTCGAACTTGGGAGGTAATCGAACCTTGTTTCTATCATATTCCGATTTGTCGTTCTGAATATTTCATTTAGTGACTTGAAAAAACAAACATAAGCAGATTTAGGGGCTCTTGGGAACTATCCCGGTTCGCCATTTTTGCCGTCGGATTCGGATATTCTTCTCGATTCTCCTGAGCAAGAGGATATAGGTAAAAAGGAACATGCCTATTTTCTTACAACATTTCGAATTTCATTCAAGTGCTATTTGTAATACTTGATTTTCGTTTTATTTTTTTACAGTAGAGGAGTTCTTTGTCAGTTCTGATTCTGTTCCAGGGCAAGGACCTCCGTCAGATGAAGAGAAGTCGTAGACCTAAGGTGAGACGGTATTTTCATCTCCATCGAGTCTCCAAAAACTTAGTCTAGATTGAGTTTATGTACAATAATCGTTATAACGAGCAAAAATAACTATCCTTGTAAGCCATAATATAACGATGGTCTAGTTAACAACAGATCGAGACAGAGGGTTCGGAAAGTATAATCCATCTGTTGTAGTCGAAGCAGTTGCTAGTTCTCTTTTGCTAGAGTTCTAATTTTATGTACTATAAATATTGCACATGGTAACATCTTTCAATGCAAGATCTTATCATGCTACTTCTATTGAATCGAATAATAAAATGCCGGTACTTCGAATATTGATGCAGTCCAGATTTGTTCATTCATCTTTACATGATTCTGTACCGAATTGTAAATCTGATTGTATTCTGAAAAGCATGAATTTAGATATTTTGTTCTGTGAAACAGAATGCATCGAACGTCAGGGCTGATCAGTGTATTTTCTCGTACATGTCTTCGACGGCAGTCTGCAATCGAACATGAGTTTGATATTAGCCTTGGCATGCTATTTTTCTGAATTAAATTTAGTCTTAGAACATCGAATGAGCAAGACCTGATAATAGTTGTAGAACTTGTTCCTTTTCTTCTTGTAAGTCGGCGTCAAAAGATCGCGTTCCATGTCGAATGGTACAGGGTCAATATGAACAGCCTTAATGAACTCGAATCCCTTTAGCTGCGCGATTTAAAGTTAGAACAGATGCTTTTGGCAATGCAGAAGAAGCTTATGGTGGATTTACCGAGCCAAATATTAGAATTTACCTTCTTTTCTTTACCTATCTTTGTTAGTTCTCCGAGGATGTAGTCTCTTGCTTTCGGATTTTTGCATATGGTATCGATATCTCCCGAAACTTGGCCTTCTCCAGCTGCCCAGTGCTCTAGAGATTCTATATTAGGATTGACTACAGCGACGAGATAGGATTTGTAGCTGCTTCCGTAGATCCATATCTGCAACGTAACATTATTTATTTATTGTGTTTTTTCTTTCGAAGATTATAGCTTTTACATATTTACTTGTTCTTGATTGTGTATAAACAGAGAAACAACTCACCGAGTCGATACTGCTGCAGAGGGAATAAATGCTCTCCAGGTTCTCTACTGATACATACTCTCCTTGGGAAAGTTTGAAAATGTTTTTCTTCCTGTCGATTATCTTCATGCTACCGTCTGGCTGCCATTCCCCAATGTCCCCTTTTGCGAAGAAAAAACACTTGTAAGGATATCGACTCGCTATCCTAAGTATGAGTAGAAATATTTTATACCTGTGTGGAACCATTCGTCGATCATCACTTCTTTGGTGAGATCCTCGCGTTTATAGTACCCAGAGAACAAACACTTGCCCCGAATACATATTTCTCCTCGAGGAGTGCTTGAAAGTGCATCGTATCCCATGTCTGGAACAGATTCCAGTCGTATGTCTACGATGGGGAGTGGAGGACCCACTGTTCCGATCATACTAAACTCATCGGGTCGTGCAACGAATGATCCTGCACAGGTTTCGGTTAAACCTGCAGGAAGTCGAACAATCGATTATACATTGTTATTATGAGTAGGCATTTTTTGCTTAGAGTTTATGATTTAGAGCACATACCGTATCCTTGTAGAACATGTGCACAGGTCACAGTGCGTAGAAAGGTCTCGACAGTAGGAGAAAGCGGGGCTGCTCCAGATAGTATGAGCCGTAGATTTCCTCCTAGACCTTGGTTAATCTACATGAGATGAACTAAGTTTTTCATTATAAGCTCATAGTTTTACTTAGCTGCGTCGTGGTTAGATTATCCTAACCTTGTTGAATATCAGTTTGTCGAATGTTGGAGCTGCCTCTTTATGCTTATAGCCTTTGCTAATGTTGCGCAGTTTGCTGCGCATGGTTGACATTGCTTTTACTTTTCTTATTCTATTGGATTCAATTCGATTTCTTCGATGAGTATTTATTCTAAGAAGAGTGCAGAACTTACTAGGAATAGGCTGCATTGAAGAGAGTGTGCCTGAGGATACCTGCAGAAGAAACTTTCTCGAGCAAACCTGAGAAGTTTGAAAGCGTTCAAGAGTTATATATATATTTTTTTCATCGGTGTCGATTGTTTATAAATTCTTAGTCTTAGATACCGGAATATATCCTGTCTAGAACGCGAGGAACGGCGCACAGCGCTGTTGGTTTGAGTTCTTTGATGTCGTCTAGCAGCTTCTTTATATCCTGTTTCGAATGCGAATATGAATCGTTGGGTATACTAACAAAAATGATCGTAGTATATTATGGAATTGATCATTGTGTCTTTTTCTTACCTTTTGCCAGAAGCCAATTGATGCACCTTTAGAAATAAAGAGTTCTTCCATGACCCGATCGAATATGTGGGCTAGAGGGAGATAGGACAGATATACGTCGTTCTCCCTGAACTGTTGAACACAAATGTGGTTGGAGAAACAACGTTAATCATCATGGATCAGACATGGATTTTTTCAGACCAGACAGAAAGTGATGTTTGGATGTTTTGTGTTGACTGACCTCTTCATCGATGGTTTCCAAATGATGATTGACTCCGGATATGATGGAGAGAACGGCTTCGTTGGAGATCATGACTCCCTTAGGATCACCGGTCGTTCCACTCGTATACATTATTGTACAAATGTCTGCCCTCTTCTTTGTCGGGAGGTCTAATTCAAACTGCTTATTCTTCTTCCCCTGCAGTAGCAGCAGGATGAAAGAGTAGATAAACGGGAGCGATGATAGAAATGAAATGAAATGAAATTCGTCGATAAAGAAAACAGTTAAACTAACCAGAAGCAAAAAGTCATCCCAAGAATAGATGTTGCACCCGAAATTGGCTGCTGTCTGCTTCTGATCTTGTGTGAACTCTCCAAAGCTTACAATAGCTGAGTGAGTCGAGTATATAAGTAGTAGCCCTTTAAATAGAGAATGGAGGACACAAACACACAAAACAGACACTGCCTTATCACTTACTTTTCAAGTATTTCTGAGTGTAGGGAAATGTTTTCAAGATCTGTATTGTGTAATATATTGTAATTAATCAGATCAGAGAAAGGAACTATATATATATATATATGTGATGATGATGATGCTATGTATGATTATTGAATTGCCTCAGAAATTTTGTTAGATTCGACGAAGGCAATTGATATCTCAGCATGGCAGATGATGTATTCGACTGCACCAGCGCCTGCAAAATCGAAACCAAACCTAATAAGTGAATAGAGTGTGGGCAGCTGCAGTGTAATCTATCTGTCTAAAACTTCTTTCTACTCAAGTAGAGGAGAGACAGAGCAGTGAGTTACCAAGAGTGTCGTATAATGGCACACAGTAAAGCCCCAAAGCATTGCAGGCCTGCACGAAGAAGAAGATGAAGAAGAAGAAGAAGAAGAACACCATTAATTCTCTTATCTACTATTAGGGGGGGTGGGGGGGGGGGGGGATCTATAGGTAGATGATCCAGCAGCACCTGCATGGTAATAATCCACTGGGGGCAGTTGGCACCATAGATCCCGCATCTACCACCCTGCATTTGCAATTGCAATTGGAATACAGCAACCATCATCCAATTGAATTGAACAGGATAGTAATTTAGTTGAATAATTAGTAAGTAATTGGAAAGTCTGACTGACTTGTGAGATTCCTTGGGCGAGCATGGAGGCTCCGACTTGCATCACTACTTGATGCACTTGTCTGTAACTTAACCATCTGTACTCCCCTGCCTACCATCACCATCAACACCAATCGAACAATCATCTTCTTATCTTCTTCACACAGGACAGAACAGAACATGATCATAATAATAGTTAATTAATACCTTCCCTCCAGGCAGCATTTCCCTCTCCCCGAGCATTCTGTTTTCCGGATATTTCTCCACCGACTCGCTGCTCGCTCGACGATATATCAACAAGTTAACATGGAATATCCATCATCATCATCAGGTACAATATTGACACAGATATATGTTACTGATTGAGCTAGCTAACTAGGTTAATGAAGGAAGGAAGAACGTGTTTGTTGGTTTAATCAATAATTAACTAATTGAATTGAATTACCAGAAGCTGTCCCAGCAGGACTGAAGGCGCTGAGGTAGTGGCTTGAATCCATCTTTCACACTCTCGTTTCTGTAAACTGAACCCTTCCCATCCTTCGCCTCTTCAATCTCCACCACGAACTTCTTCTCCCTTCCCATCATCACTTCAATTTCAATCTCAGTATCAATGTAGTTACAGACACACATATTCTGACATATATATATATATATATATACACAGAGATGAAATTAATTTAACAATTGGGGTGAAGAAGTGACGATGGAAGGAAGGAAGGCATTGAATTAATGAAAGTCGATATTGTTGGTGGCCAAAGCGTTTGCCGTTCTGCCTCTGCCAATACTGTTATTAATCAATAAATCAGTCTGCTCATCTAACCAACTAACTCCCAACGCCATCATTGACTTCCTTCACATGCATGCTATTGCTATTGCTATTGCTATTGCTATTTGCTAATGCTAACTTTGGCTTCTTTTCGATGCCAACAATGGCTACCACACAGTCTACACTACACTATGGAAAAAACAGCTTTATTTAACAAATATATTACCTCCTTCTTTCATCTTCTGTCTTCTTCATTTTCATTTTCCCTGTAGATTTATGTCTTTCGATTTCGATTCTCTTCTCTTTGCCATAAAGCACTTACTACATATATATATATATATATATAATTAATAACAAAGTAGAAAAGCAAACTAATATAGTTGCTAACTCTAAAAACATTAACAAACTAATAATCAAATTTGAATGAATTCTTGAATTTGAAGATACAATCTCCTAAGCTCAAAGAAGGAAATTCAACCAGGGGAAAATAATGGAGCGATCCTCGAGGTCATTTTTTTAAAATTGTGAAATAGCTTAATATAGAAATGCAACAATTTAAAAACATAAAAATAGTCTTTATGTTTTTTAACCTCCTTTGGAGTGTGCTTTTTTATTAAAAAATTTTGTAGCATTTTTTAAAAATAAATATTTATTATTTTTTCTCATAAACTATCTTATCTAGTGGAGTATTATTTAAATACAATTTTAAATCAAAATTTCCCAAACCCCAAAACAAAACCCTAATGTTTACCCTTAACTATTTATACTATACAAAGTCTGCATTGTTTTTTTTTATATTAATTATTAGTAATATTGAACACAAAGTGCGATGAATAATTTGGGCTTAAAATTGGACGGACCAAAAGCCCAATTAGATTAGTCCAAACTCCAAAGATACATCGAAGAAGTGGACGTCTCCTATTTAATGGATCTTTCCGCGTTTAGGTCCGTTCAATAAATCTTGTTTCGATTTATCACTTGGATTGAGGATTCTGCAATTTGGTCGAGGAAAGGCAACAACAGTTGCGTCTTTTGATACGGTTTCAGGGGATACAAAGTGGTATCGTCGGCCGACGGTGTTAACGATCGATCTCTCAAGGAATTGACATGGATCTGTTCCAGTCGGATATCCACCAGGTGTTCGTGAAATTGCTGGATGGAAAGCACAAGATTTTGAATTTCGGCGAACCCTCGATTCCCGTCTCTGCCCTAAAGAGCCGGATCGAAACCCTAACTTCTATCCCCTCCGGCCTCCAGCGTCTTGTTCTTCAGAATTCCAACATCCTTCGCGACGATCAGTTTCTGAATATCACTCAGCCCAACGAGAAATTACAGATTTTCAAAACCCTAGGCCCCGATTCGAGCGGCCAATTAGATGGAGAGGAAGATTGTAATCTAGGTGGTTCTGCGGTTGCGAATAGGCCGAGGAAATTTCCTGTGATCGTGCATCTTTTGCTGAGGCTTCGGGGCGGGAAAGGGGGATTTGGGTCGTTGCTCAGAGGGGCGGCAACGAAGGCTGGGCAGAAGAAAACGAACAATTTTGATGCTTGTAGGGATATGAATGGGCGAAGACTGAGACATGTGAACGCGGAAAAGAGGCTGGAGGAGTGGAGGGCGGAGACGGAGGAGAGGAAGTTGGAAAAGATGGCTGAAGAGTTCATTAAGAAGAAGACGAAGGAGATTGTGAAGAGTGGAAAGGGGAAAGGGGGCGATAGTACGGAGAAGTATGTAGCGAAATACAGGGAAGATTCAGCCAAGTGCATGGAGGAGGTGGAGAGGTCTGTGAGAGAATCAGTTCAGCAGCAGAAATTGTTGAGCTCCAAGAGGAAGAAGGATTTGGCTAAGGGAATTGAGTCTGCACCCAAGAGATTGAAGATATGGTGAGAATATCTGAACTCCTTTCTGCTGTTTTGACTTACATAACTATGTATGATTTCATGGATGGATTGATATGGGAAGATGTGGTGTTTCTTGGAAGGTTTTGATTAGGGTACTAAATGATATCATTCATGGATGTAACAAATAGACAACACATGACCATAATCGGTCTTAACAGTATATCACATGTTAGTACACATAATCCACATAATACTTGTGACAATTGATATCACCACATATGACATGTTAATACAACATAGTATATAATATATAAATGACAATAGATATTAATGATATTTAATATAACCATGTGTTGTGTATGTCATTATAGTGTAGATTAACCCCAATCATCACCATAATAGGACCCTTTTAGAAATGAATATAATATAATTATTATTGTTGGAGAAATGACATAACTAGTTAGGAAAAAACTCTTGTTTTTCAGGGTATTGTTGCTGAATATTTTAACTATGTTGACTATGTGAAAATGTGGTTGAATTGTAGTATTCTGCGGAATGAATCCTGTGGAAGATCTTTTGATACTGTGACAATTATCTAATTATTCCTTTTTTTTTTAAAAAAAAAATATGCATTCAGGTTTGGAAAGAGAAAAGTGGGTGACAGCGACAGCGACGAGGACGACATGGATGAGGAGGGCAGTGATAAAGAAGAGGAAGGCGAAAATGAGAAATCTGTTATAGATAATGGGAGTCATTCTGATTCGAGCAAAGAGGCAGAGACTAGTACTGGTTCAATTCCCTGTAAGGAACATGTTACTGAATCTGTTGATCAAGGTTCCTCCGAAAGTGGCTCAGATGAAGTACGTAACGTTGCTGAGTATCCATTAAATTTAAATAAAAGTAGTGAGGATGAAAGCAGTGAACAAGAGAATACTCAAGTGCTAGATTATGTTGAGAAAAACGGGGTTTGTAATGAAGTTGTATACGAGCTGCCGCAGAGATCACTCACAGAAGTGAAAAACAGTGTACTCGAGCCAGTTCATGAAGACCCCCCGATATCTGTAAGTTCAGATCTTCAGAGCTCAGAGAAGCCCCTTAACTTTGATGAATATCATTCAGCAGCTGAATTAGAGGTATGTTGAAAGATTGACAAGCCCTATACTATGTTTAGGTTCCCCGGTCTTGCTTAGTTAGCCATGTTTTGTATCTGAATTTTTTTTTTTTTTTATGACGTTTGTATCTGAATTTTTTTTTTTTTTATTGGTTGGTTGCTCATGTTATCTACCAATGTCTGAATTGTAGGTTCTTGGCATGGAACGATTGAAATCTGAACTTCAAACCCGGGGGTTGAAATGTGGAGGGACTCTGCAAGAACGTGCAGCTAGGCTTTTCCTGCTCAAAACAACACCATTAGAGATGCTTCCAAAGAAGCTTTTTGCCAAGAAATGAAATGCCAAGTATGATCTAACACTATCAGTGTACCGTACCATGTTCATTGTTCACAACCAATGAAACCGAGCTTGAATGCTTTTTTAGCGCCTACTGAAATCATGTGTAATGCACCAAATGCTTTATGTACTGTATCTTCTGTCTGTTTGAGCTACTTAGATATAGAATGCACCTCGATCTTCTTTAAGTCTACTGTAATGCTGTTCAAATCAAATCGGCTTTGATATTTCTTATAAATACTTCCTTTTACAATTATAATGCTTTCTATCTTGATAATCTGTTGGTTTAATGTGTTATTTACTTACCTCTGCGCATGCTCAACAAATTGATGGCATATGTGGAAGGAAGGCAAGAATCCGCGTAAGTTCAAATACTCATCTCATCCGAATATTCTGAATATACAGAAACCCACAGAAGAAGATATATATATATATATATATTATATAGACACATGAAAATATTTGGGTGTCCTTTTAGCCTAGAATATGATCCAATTTAAACGGGTGTCTGTAAATTCCTGCAGACGGGGCACTTATTGTTTATGCTTAACCACTCATCTATACACTCGACATGGAAGCAATGCTCGCATTCTGGCATGAATCTTATTGTTTCATTTGGGGCGTAATCTCCGAGGCATATTGTGCAGGTTACATCATTAGGGCCTTCAATGTGGCGGCTTTCACCAACTGTTATCTTTCTGTAGGTCTCGATTGTGGATTTGTCGAGGCCAAGGGATACAGCAGCCCTGCCACCAGTTTGATTTTGGTTTTGGTTTGTATCTGTGATCTGAGACCGAGAGTTGTCGCGCGCCACCATGCACATGCAGCAGGATATGGTGAATATCAGTGAAGGTATAACCAGGGCCGACAGAACAACAGATAACATGATCAGTGTGTGAGTTTTGTGGTGCTGATGCGCACTCGGACCTGCAAAGTTTGATACATCAGTGATGAAAACACGATGAGTTATTTCATTATCTTTTGTAAGAATCATGATATGGCAATTTCTGGTAACTATTTCGATATGGATGTCTTTTTCGTTCATATTTTAAGATTATCTACCACAGTGAAAAGAGCTAATTGAAACCTTGATAAGTGAAGAGGATTGACTCGATTATTGTTATAAACAAGTTTATTATAGTTCAAGAAATGCTTGTTTAGGATTGGTAACTGATCCTATCATCCTAGTCAAGTTTACTTTATTTGATTAGGGCCGCGATAGGAATTTTTGGGTCAATGTTGCTTGCTCCATACGAACTGTAAATTTAAGAATAAGCTCGAATGGACTCGACTTGATTGACTAACATAGTTTAATCTAGGATGATGCGTATGTAGTGTGACGTTTACACTCAGATTTTTAAGGTGAAATAATACACATTTGCCCTTAATCTCTCTCTCTAACATAGAAAGTTGGAAATAAATACATGGTTGACATTGGCTTTGTCAAATCTGTGTTGCTTTATAATAATGCCGGAGACAACCATGTACCCAAAAAATCCATGGCTGTGCTGTCATAATCAAGATTGTATAGACTATAAGCTAGAATAGAAACTGCAGAAGTTGCACATGAATTAGAATCATTCCTGCTGAACAACTATATTTCCAGGATTAGTTTGATGATTTCAAACACTTATGCATAGATGTAAAAGATTTAAGGCAAAGGAGATCATTCTTACTAGTTGTAGACCTGCAATCCTTGCAATCTTTGTCGTTCCATGTTAGCTCAAGCTCGTCCGGAAGATCATTATAACCAGATGAAACCGGGACTGGTATGCTGGCGATTTTATCGCAGAACATCAAAAACAGTGGATCTAAGTCATCCCTTGCTGCAATTATATCAGTAGTTGTGTTGCTCATGCAATCAATAATAGTTGCGCCGTACTGAACTGCCTGGCCTTTTGGGCACCGAAAAAAGGTGTATTTCTGATAGGAGACGGCCTTGAAGGGAGAAGATGAAAGGTTCAAGTGTAGAAGTCGTCTAGGAAGGCAATTGTTGGGGTCGTATAGCATCACTCTTTTTTCGCTGTAGTATATAGAACTCACATAGAACTCTTCATCGTGAGGAAGATTCAGTATTGATATATTCTTTGTGTTGCAGCTTAGATTAAATCCGGGAGACATACAGTTTAGAGGCGTCTGACCTTGTAACCAGAAGGGAGGCTGTATGGCGACGCCGTTGGCATCGCAGCGAGAAGTTGGACAACCGCTCTTAGCATGGGCTACCGAGAAAAGAATCACAATCAAGAAGCTTTGGAAGCCCATACGAGAGCTTTAAGATTTTATGGTTTTTCGATGAAGTTTTGCAGGTTTTGTGGTCAACTAATGTAATGGTTTTGGGAGAGAGAGATGGAGAAGGAGGGGAGTGTTTTGCTTTTGTTATATGTTGTGTTTGGGTGTTTTTTATTTATTTGAATGGAAGCATATAGACTATTGTTTTTTTATTTGTATTATTATTGTTGTTGTTTTTGTTTTTCTTTTTTTTTTGAATAAAAATAGTCAAATAGAAGTTAATGTAGTTTTGGACATTGGGTGTTTGCAAGAGGCAACAGCAGCTTGTGATAGTGATGGTGATGGTGATGTATTGTTCAATTGCAATTTGCATGGCTGAACAGACCTCCTCATCCTAAGCTTCCTTCACTTAGGAGGCAATTTGAAAAATTTTCAACTTGAATAGTGAAAGGTGGATGAGATATTTTAAGAAAACATATTTTTACCAGATTTTGGGATCTGTGGTTTTCTGTTAGTTGTGCTGCTAAAGGGGTATTATTTTGGACCATTATTGAATTTAAGTGAGTTAGTGAAGATGGGAAAAGAGATGTGGTTACGTTAAATCAGAGGTGTTTACTGCAGAGGACTCGTTCTTTTCCTTTCTGAACAGTTTCATGAAATGAACGCAGCAGCCTATGCAGATGACTGAAGGCCATATCACTGTTAGAAAGTAAGCCATTAGGAGGAAGGCTATTCCCAGAAACCTGTCCGTCACTGCTCCGGCACCTATCTCCGATGAGATGTATATATGTAGCTATCGGAATTGAAAGAAAACTAATATATAAGTTACCTGTTTGTTTTGCAGGACAGTTTTCGCAAGGAGGTGAGTACCACGCCAAGATAAAGTTGATTGGATTGGCAATGAAGTCATCTTGGTTTGGCCATGTAGCCGGGACAAATTTAGTGACAATCTCGTTGCACCTGTATAGCGTGTTCATCACATATCTTGAAATCGTGTGAGTCGCCACCGTAGCAAAGGATGAATTGGTTAGGCAGTCGATATGAGTTAAATTTGCGGCACGGATCACTTCATACGGACAGGTATAGAAGGTGTAGTTTCGACCATAGGAAGCCACAAGAGGAGTTGCAGAAAAAAGGTTCAAGCTGATAAGCCGCCTCGGCAGACAGTTTTCAGGGTCGGAGAGCACAATCACTGATGACTTATAGTCTATGTAACGTACGTAGAAATAAAAATCTTCGGAATTAGGAAGATTTAGGATAACTGTACCTTGAGGGCTGCATTGCAGTGTAGTATAGCTGCAATTTGTAGAGTGTTGGTCTTGTAGCTTAAAAGGGTATCGAATTGGGAAGCTGTTATTGCCACAATAAGAAGCTGGACAGTGGTTCTTGGAATGTACAGCTGGGAAAAAGAAGAAGAAAATAAAGAAGGGGAAATGAAGAATGTCCATATCAATATTGGTTGAATATATGAATTGTAATGAAAATAAATAAACTTACGAGCGGACTATACGAAGTTCGCGCAGAGTGTCCTGACCTGCAGAGCTGTGAATAGAAAATAAAATAGTGGAGCTGAACACAATGTATGATTATTTAATTTGGAATCCTATGGGGAATCTGCAAATAACAAAATGTATGTATGTATATCTTTACATGGATGAAAAAATATTCTGGACAGAGTGAGTGTTTTATTGATTTAGAGAATGAACTATGAAAGGCAGGGGTTTAAAATATTAAGGACTATACTGACTAAAGAAGCTGTTGGGATATGCGAATCGATACGACTTCGCCGTCTTTTCCAGCCCTCATAGCATGGTATTTAATCTGAAGACCTGGAATTTTGTATTTGACAGGATTATAGTTGAAACATCCATAGCTTTTTCTAATTGATTCGATTTTGGGTCACAGTTTTAGGACATAGGAAGTAATGATGCTGTATAAGATCATTACCTTCATTCTCTTGCAAATTGGTGTTCACTGCAACTGCATGGAGAGTTATCATCGCTTTTGGTTGCCAGTCATTTCGTTTTCCCACCCATGACTTGAGATCGAAGATATCTGCACGCCACCAATGGTTATACTAAGATAGAGATATATAATCAGATGAAAATAGTGATGCCTACCTGAAGTGGATGGATCATGGAGATGTTCAAAGTCGAAAATTCCGCCAGAAGCCCCATCTGTCTGCTTGTTGACGTCGTGGGATCCTAGTGTATGATAGTCCCAGCTCCCGTTTAGGTATCCTTCGTTTAGGAAGAGCTCAATGTGTCTTGCATCTAAGGTTTGCATCGTTCCTGAAATGGAGCAGCACAAAAGAGTTTATATTTCAATTTGCTGGTTTATGCAACGGATATGTAATGTTTAGTAAATAATATCACCGGCGTAAATTTTGGAGATGGTTACTCGTGAATTGACTTACCATCACACGAATCAAGGTCACAAACTGGACATCGAACCAGCTGCAAGTCTTCATCAAACATGAAACACAGTAGGGATTGTTGGCAGTTAGATTAATAACTGATCATTTGTCATTATGTTTATATGCTGCTTCATAAGTAATCAACAAGTGGAATAATGCTATCAAATGAATTACCAGCTATCCAAATTCCAGTTTTCATATTGTTTAACAGACAACAGCCTTCTTGCTGCAACATTTTCTCCGTTGTCTTTTCATTGGGAGTTCTCGGGAGTCCCATTAAATTCTCGGTAAGGAGAGCAGTGTGGGAGTCGAACAAGAATGCTCCAATGCGCATCCAATCTAGTTAACAGATCAACAGATTAAAGTAAAAGGACTGAAATTAATATCTGAGGGAGATTAGTATTGTCCATTAATTAAGGTAGCAGTAAGTGTGACAGAAACAAGAAAGTTATGTAAACCGATGATGAGCTCAATCTTCTCTACCATATCTCCCAACTCAATAACATCAAAAAAATCGATACAAGTAACGTTCCTGAATAATTACTGAGCATAACTTGCTGGTGAACATGATGCAATATTTACAGCAAATTTTTTAGCATTGAGGATATGAAAAATGCATTTTATGCAATATGAAAGAAAATTAACATATATAACTATTTGGAGAGCTCCAGCTTCAAATACAGTGGTTTTCTAATAGTAATTTTAGTAGTAAACAATTTCATGTGGTGAATTTGGAGGAGATCATAGAGTACTACCAACTAAATTAGGCAGATATGTATGCTTGCTACACCACAATTCAAAAGTTTGATTCATTTTGTAAGTCAATATCAGTTATGGCTTGATTACTTTTGTTGTGGTAACTAATATCTACGTTGCAACTAATAGTGAACAAGAATGCATTTACCAATATGCTTCTCTTGCTGACGAAACATATATGTGTGACTTCCATCTGCAAAATTAATTCAGCTTTTGATAAGTGAATAGAAATTGTGGAGTTACATTCTTAGAGGGAATATTAGTTAGGTTGAATATAATACCAAAAGCCGTCGCGTAAAGTTTGATCCATTTGAAAGCAACATTTCCAGGGTCAGGAACCTGAAGATCACGCAAACATGCATATTTCCACACACTATCCTCTGTCATAATGCGGTTGAACCATTTGCAGGTCACTGCAAGCATCACTAAAGATCTTCCATCCAAAAACTTTGCAATCTCTGTCCATACATCCTCCTCATACCTATGAACATTCATGATGTACACAAAGGTTATGGAAATGAGCAGATTTCTTGCTGAATAACAACGCATGTTAATACACAATAATATTTGTCAACAAGAGTTTACTCCTAACTAAGTTTACAATAAGCAGTCATGTTTCTGCCTTGCAGAGTGACCTCCAGAAATGTTGGAACATGGAAATGGAAAATCATCGAGTATGCTATATCCTGAAGGAAAGCTTTGGATCAAAGATGGAAAAAAAGAATGCAAGATTCTCTCATAGGACCTCATTTATTGTAAGTAGAAGAAGCTCAATATTTTCGTAACACATAGCTTTTCTGAAAATGGCGCCAAGTAATAGAAATAAATGAATTCATTAATACAAAGAGCGGCCAAAAGACAGTCAAAATGTAGCTCTCATAAGCTCCAGAAAATCAACATAAACTAATGCCATTGTCTAACTTAATTTTAAGCTAAATTACCTAACACTCTTATATCAATCAATTCAGCTCCTAAAGCTAAAAGTCTTTCAAAATTCAATCTCTATTCAACAAATCTGAGATCGCAATATCAAGTTTATAATCGATGCAAAATTCACCTTAATTCGAGCATAATGAATCGATCATCTGAATTAACTAAAATAAGAACTCATCAACAAAAACTCAAATCTAAGCTTGTAAACAACGAGTATACCAGCTGAAAATTGAGTGAGGAGTAAGGTACAAGGATCTGGGAGAGGCACAGCTGCACATTGATCTCGCTTTTCTCATTCGCTTCCCCATTGTTTCCAAGCTTAATTTCTATAAATCACTGCACTGTACTTCCTCCGGTTGGGAAACGCAATTTTGCTTGTTTTAATACGATATTTAGCGCCTGAAGTGCTTGGACCGACTGAAGGACCAAACGCCTGTGATAAAGATGAGATCGGAACTCCACATAAACCGTATTTATAGTTGCGGGAAATTCTGAATTTAAATTCTCGCGGGGCAATGCCGACTCCTCGATCCTTCTCTCTCTATTATTATTTTGTTAATTTAATTATTTAAATAATTAGGAGTTATTTTAAAATTTGAGCCCATTAATTGGCCCAAGACATTAACGGGTCTAAATTATTTTTCTGGCCCTGAAGGGATTCTTTTAGTGGCTGGTTATGCTTATTTATTTCTGTGGCCCTCTCCAACTTAACAGGACTTTCGTACAGATGTTTTTTCAGGTTTAATTTTTTATTTTTATTTTTAAAAAATTAACACTATTAAATATAATAATTTTTGAGATAATATATTTTATGTGATATTTTTTAAAATAATTATTTTTTATTGATAGTATCAAATATTACAAAAATGTGAATATAAACATAATTTTTAAATTTTGAGCTAATTTTATTATTATTACCATATTTTATTTAAGCCAAACTCTATTTTTTTGCATAAAAAACAGAGCAATGAATAGTGTTCAGGAGAAAATTGTTATTTGCAATCAGATTTTTAGATTAAAAATTGTTTGATCGTGTTTTAAAATTAAATTAAAATATAATACTATTAATTTGGGTTTTTCTTTAAATGTATTTTAATAGTATATATTTTGTTTAGAGTGTAAGGATTGTTATAAATTTGATATAATATTTTATGAAAGTAATAATGTTTTTTTTTATTATTGAAATTAGACAAAATAAATAATCTTGAAATATATTGAAAAAAAAAATAAACAAAATTTTAATCTTTCTAAAGTTCAAATTCAAAAGACAGGCTTTATGATTGGCTCCCCCAATCTTTCCGTAATTCTGAATGCATGTCTAATTGCATATCTGAATGGCTATTACCTATTGGTTATCATCGACCAATCATAGCCGTCTATTTAAGAGAAGATACATTGGGAAATAATCAGGTGGCACGTAGTACGCCACTACCACTAACTATTTGTGGCAAATGACGATTTAATAATATCACTAAGTAAAAACGCTTTTAAGGCCAAGCACGCGATCAATTCAATCTGCATAATTATTTAATTATTTAATTTTGAATACCGCCCCACTTACACTGCGCTTTAAAAATTAATAATCGTTTTAATAATTAATTTCGGTTGGAGATTGTCACTAGTTGACTTCTTCCAACACTTTTGTGAGTTCTAATAATAATAATAATAATAATAATAATAATAATAATAATAATAATGTTACGTACGAAATTTAGAATTAGGTTAAAAGCCCAAGGTAAAAAGAAGAATGGGCCTGGCAATAGGGTTGATTGAACTGGCTGAAGGACACCGTGAGGAAATCAAGGAAAATAAATTTATTTATTTATTTCTAAGGAAAATATAGGTCGGAAGGTTCTTAGGTCGGTAGGTCCTCAGGACGGAAAGACCTCAGGACGGAAGGTTCTTAGGTCGGTAGGTCCTCAGGACGGAAAGACCTCAGGTCGGAAGGTCTTCAGGTCGGGAGGCCCTCAAGATGGAAAGACCTCAAGTCGGAAGGTCTTCAGGTCGGGAGGTCCGCAAGACGGAAAGACCTCAAGTCGGAAGGTCTTCAGGTCGGGAGGTCCGCAAGACGGAAAGACCTCAAGTCGGAAGGTCTTCAGGTCGGGAGGTCCGCAAGATGGAAAGACCTCAAGTCGGAAGGTTTTCAGGTCGGGAGGTCCGCAAGACGGAAAGACCTCAAGTCGGAAGGTTTTCAGGTCGGGAGGTCCGCAAGACGGAAAGACGATGAGTCGGAAGGTTTTCAAGTCGGGAGGTCCTCGAGACGGAAAGTCGTCGAGATGGGATATCCGCAGGTCGGGTAAATTGTAGGTCGGATAGAAGGCGGAGTCGGACAAACGCGGAAGCCTTTGATCAAAGACAGGGGGCGGTTGATATGGAGGTCGGCCCAAGTGGGGTCGGGCGAAGAAGTAGGTCGGACGAAGGACGAAGTCGGGCCAAAAGAGCGGAAGGTTTGTGGTCGGCTCAAGGAGTGAAATATAGGGAATTTTGGTCTGCTGGGGACACGTGTCAGCATGAGAAAGGTTGGAAGACGGTTGAGAAGGAGACGTTGTAACCGTTCGGGTGACGGTTTTCAGTATGGTTTCCTAGGGAATATTTAAGGTTTGGATCATCATTTGGCAAGGCATCTTCAATCAACTTCAACAAAGCAAAGTCAGATTTGGGGATCACCACTTTAAATTTCAGTCTTTTATTTTCCAATTTATTTTCTGTACCATACAGTGTTTAGAGATTCCTAATCTCAGGCACTAATTAATCAAGTTTAAGGATATTTTCTATATCTTTGAATTTTACTTTATTTTTGTTGAAAAATTACATCAACAAATTGGCGACCACAGTGGGAGAAAATTGCTGATCCATATGGCAAATTTTCAATTCCACAGTACAGCCGTTGGCTTTATCACGGCAGAAGAAGCTTCCCAACTACGGGCCGAATTGACAGCAGGTTTTACAGCATGTTTTCGGCAAATGTACGACCAGCAGATAGCAAATCTGCAGGCAATACATGACGCAATGCAAAACTTGATGGAGCAATCAAAATTCATGTTGAATTCGGTTCCTGCACCGCCAGAAATGTCATGCCCCCAAACGGACAACGCCATTCCTGAGCATATACCCATTTCTGTTAGTCATCGTGTATTTGTGGGAAGTTTTCTGCCTCTGAATCAGTCTTTTCATCCCAGTGAGTGGATATTAGCTCTGGTTCTTCTTCAATAAGATCTTCCAACTCTGGTCGGTACCTTTCCCATTGGCTTTGCATTTCATCTAAATCTTGATGGGTACGTGCTTGCATGTCTGTTAGGGCTTGATGTTCACGATCAACGATGGTCCGCAATCTTGAAAAACCTTTTCGTTGATTGGAAAATATGTTATCCCAACCGAGATCTGGAAGTATGGTTGCTGCGTGATTTTCGATCATTTCCATGTGATGATGAAGATCAGGAATGCGGCTAAGGATGTCATGAAGAGGTTCATACCCCTCAATGACTTTTTCCATCAGGCGGATGACTCGATGAATGGTTCTTCTTCCTCGTTGGGAGAATCGGAATTTGAAGTCTAGTTGCTTGAGTATATGTAACAAGTCTTCTGCATGGCCTCCAATAGGGTGATTACCTACAAAGAAGGGTTGAAGAACACCCTCCCAGTTGCTTGATGGAACATGAGGTCGGTCATTCGCCATGTTTGTTAACACTTTCAGTGTTTTAATTTTAAAATATGCCTGGGAATGTGTTTCTTCAAATGTGAGAAACAATGTTCTTTTAAAGAAGGAGTTTGTTTCTATTCCTACAAAGTTGGAAAGTGAAAGGTGATCCTTGTTTTGTGAGAAGAAGAAAAAAATGGATTACTAAGTCAAGTATTGTTACAAAGGGGGAAATATTACAACAGTGCCCCTAGGGCAGTTTTTATCTGTGTCCATTTGTTTTCATCCCTGGATAGCCTTCTGGTATTGGCAGCCGTCTGATATCTTCTGATGAATTGGGATCGGGCTTGGGTTTTCAACTCTTGATCCAATTCAGCCTCATTTTTGGTATACTTCTCAAGCAGATGCTGTTCATTGGTAATTTGCTTATCCAGGGTAGACTGTTCTTTTCTCAGCTCCCGCAATTCTGCCTCCTTTTTCTGAATGGCATCATCAACCAGAGCTTTCGTGCTAAGGAGACCACCCAGTCTTCCAGTAGTCTGCTGAAGGGATTCTCGAGTCTTAGCCAAAGAATTCTCCAGCGTTGTTTGATCGAAGTCGGGCTGGGGGGTTTCGGATGACAGAAGGCCAATGACTAATACTTCAGTCTTGAGCTCTGTAAGTCTTTCCATCAGCCGATGCAGAATGGGGACGGCTGGTGATTCCGTTGGAGTGTAAAAAAGAAGGCCACCAACCGTCTGAATGAGCTTGTCCAATAAATCGGACCTTAATTCGGACAGGGGACGGTTAATGGCCTCAGTGAACACAGTCTGGGCCTCCGCTGGAACTGGAACAGTTGATAGGACAGCTAAGTCCGAAGGCCCCTGCAAGTCCTACAATGTCAATAAATATTCCAAGGGAGTTGCAAATTTGTTCGGAGAAAATATGTGGTACCTCTGGGCGGACTGCTGTCAGTGAGGAGGAGGCATGTTGTTACGCACAAATAATAATAATAATAATAATAATAATAATAATAATAATAATAATAATAATAATAAGGTATCCAAAGTCAGTCGGTGGGTTCTCAGTCGGTTGGTTCTCAATCAGATAAGCAAGTCAGATGGTCCGCGGTCGGGCAAGCAGGTCGGATTATCCGCAGTCGGATAAATGGGTCGGTTGATACAAAGGTTGGCTGCTATGGGGGTCGGTCGAAAAAGGAAGTCGGGCGAAGAAAGGTCTGTTGATAGGTCAGACGATTGAAGAGACCAAATAGTGGTCGTTTGATGGGGCGACCAGTGAGTCTTTTGATCTGGCGACCAATTATGTATCTAGATTGGTCGGTTGGTCGGTCGTTGGGTTATGCGGTTGGCGAGGCGGTTAAAGACATGTGTCAATGAAAGAGGCAGTTCTGAGTTCTGTAACCGGTGGGAACGGTTGGTGAAACAGTGCGACGGTTCTGAACGTTTTCTTCAAAGAATATTTAAGGATTTGGATCATCATTTGGCAAGGCATCTTCAATCAACTTCAACAAAGCAAAGTCAGATTTGGGGATCACCACTTTAAATTTCAGTCTTTTATTTTCCAATTTATTTTCTGTACCATACAGTGTTTAGAGATTCCTAATCTCAGGCACTAATTAATCAAGTTTAAGGATATTTTCTATATCTTTGAATTTTACTTTATTTTTGTTGAAAAATTACATCAACAAATTGGCGACCACAGTGGGAGAAAATTGCTGATCCATATGGCAAATTTTCAATTCCACAGTACAGCCGTTGGCTTTATCACGGCAGAAGAAGCTTCCCAACTACGGGCCGAATTGACAGCAGGTTTTACAGCATGTTTTCGGCAAATGTACGACCAGCAGATAGCAAATCTGCAGGCAATACATGACGCAATGCAAAACTTGATGGAGCAATCAAAATTCATGTTGAATTCGGTTCCTGCACCGCCAGAAATGTCATGCCCCCAAACGGACAACGCCATTCCTGAGCATATACCCAGTCAGACAGACTGGAATCAGGACCAAACAGGAGGACAGGCCCGACCAGGGACGACCGAATGGACGGAGACAGGTCGGCAGGATCACGACGCCTGGACGGACCATGGTCGGGAAGACCACACCGACTGGACGGACCATGGTCGGGAGGACCACACCGAATGGACGGACCGTAGTCGGGACAACCACACCGACTGGATGGACAAAGGTCGGGAGGACCACGCCGACTGGACGAATACAGATCGAGAAGACCACGTCGACTGGACGGACAAAAATCGGGAGGACTACGTAACCTGGACGGATACAGGTCAGGAGGACCCCGCCGAATGGACGGATACAGGTCAGGAGGACCCCGCCGAATGGACGGACACGGGTCAGGTCGCCGACCATAACTTTTCAGGCGAGCAAAAGAATGACAGAACAACAGTGGCCGAAAGGAGGAATAAGTCGGACGGGAGTCTGAATACAATGGTAGTGCAAGATCGACCAACGTCCAGGCCAGCACCAGTCCGCGATAAATGGAGGTCGGGTCCAACGTAGCCTCGAAGGATGGAGGTCGGATCTGAGGCTGACGTAGCCTCGGATGCCGGCCTGCAAACTCCTAAAACATCACTGGAAGTGATGTTTAGGAGTCTTGAGGAGGAGGCTTATTGTTAAGCACAAAAAATAATAATAATAATAATAATAATAATAATAATAATAATAATAATAATAATAATAAGGTATCCAGAGTCAGTCGGTGGGTTCTCAGTCGGTTGGTTCTCAATCAGATAAGCAATTCAGATGGTCCACGGTCGGGCAAGCAGGTCGGATTATCCGCAGTCGGATAAATGGGTCGGTTGATACAAAGGTTGGCTGCTATGGGGGTCGGTCGAAAAAGGAAGTCGGGCGAAGAAAGGTCTGTTGATAGGTCAGACGATTGAAGAGACCAAATAGTGGTCGTTTGATGGGGCGACCAGTGAGTCTTTTGATCTGGCGACCAATTATGTATCTAGATTGGTCGGTTGGTCGGTCGTTGGGTTATGCGGTTGGCGAGGCGGTTAAAGACATGTGTCAATGAAAGAGGCAGTTCTGAGTTCTGTAACTGGTGGGAACGGTTGGTGAAACAGTGCGACGGTTTTGAACGTTTTCTTCAAAGAATATTTAAGGATTTGGATCATCATTTGGCAAGGCATCTTCAATCAACTTAAAAAAAGCAAAGTCAGATTTGGGGATCACCACTTTAAATTTCAGTCTTTTATTTTCCAGTTTATTTTCTGTACCGTACAGTGTTTAGAGATTCCTAATCTCAGGCACTAATTAATCAAGTTTAAGGATATTTTCTATATCTTTGAATTTTACTTTATTTTTGTTGAAAAATTACATCAACAAATTGGCGACCACAGTGGGAGCAAGACAAAATTGCTCATTCCAATTCCGGCGATAATTTCATACGTCTTAGATCCGGCCGAATCATCGGAAGGGTTATGGCAAGTTCACAACCGCAAACATCTTCGACACCGGTGGGAGAATCCGTTCCACCACCCATTGTGCCAAATGCCGGGGAAATCCCACAACCACCAACTGATTGGTGGTCTTATGTTCAACAAATGAACAACCAGCATACCTTGGTTATGCAGAATATGTTGCGTGAGCAACAAACGAACATGTTGCGTGAGCAACAGAGTCAGTTGCAGAACATGATAGATCAAGCACTGTCAAGGGTTAGTCTTCAACCCACTCAAACGCCACCAGGAGTGTCACCGTCCAGACCACAGGCAAATTTCGCAGGGCCATCATTCGTGGATAGTACATTCCCAAGTGCCACAAATCCCAACCGAATGGATCGGGGAAAAACTCCTTTGACTTTTCCCAACAATGTTCCACTGGGACCAAGGGTTACCAATTCGCAGCCGAACAATACAAGGGAGGACAGGCCTGAAGGATATATACATGATCCGATTCATATTCCTGTGCAGGATCCGTTCCAGGTTCCTGATCATCAACGCTTTCATGTAGATCCTGATGAGATTGCACATATATTAAGGGATCAGTATGGATTAACTCCTCAGATGGCTAACCGCCCTGCATATCAAAGACCTTTCCCAGAAAGGATCATTCATGAACACCCTCTCCCAAGGAATTTTCGACCACCCGACTTTCATGCATTCTCAGGGGAGGACGGATCTTCCACCATAGAACATGTTGGTCGGTTCACAGCACAATTAGGAGAAGTTGGCAATAACCCTTTTTATAAGTTACAGCTGTTTGGTTTATCTCTTACTAGAACGGCGTTTTCGTGGTTTGTAAGTTTGCCTCCAGGACAAATTCAGACATGGGAAGGACTGGAGATGGCATTTCACGCTAGATTTTTTAATCCTTTACCAGTTGTTTCTTTAACTGATTTACTTGAATTGAGACAGTATCCAGAAGAAACTGCTTCACAGTTTATAGAAAGGGTGCGATTGATGAAGGGACGATGTCCTACGGTAATCAGTGAGAAAGAGATGACCAATTTAGTGGTCCGGAATATGCATACTCGTTTAAGAAAGGCACTCACTGCCCTGGATGTTGAGGATTTGGCAAGTCTTGCATCCAAGGCAGGACGTCTAGAATCTTTGTTCAGAGAGGAAGATCAGCATAACAGGCGTAATAGAGGCCAACATATGGCGAGTATGGGAACAGAAACATGCGACTTTGATTTTAATCAGTCAGAAGAGATGGCAGCCGAAATCCTTTCTGGAAAACCGTATGTATGTCCTAAATTGAAGCCAGTACCAGGATCTGAAGGAAAGGAGCAACCGACCTTTGATAGTTCGAAAGCTGATGAAATCTTTGATATCCTACTGACTGATGGGCAGATCCGTATTCCAAAGGGCCAAAGACTTGCCACTAAAGAAGAAATCAAAGGGAGACCATATTGTAAGTGGCATAATTCTTTCACACACACTACAAGTCAGTGTACTCATTTTAGGAAGGAAATTCAAAAGGCCATCAAGACAGGTCGGCTCAAATACATCATTCTAGGTGTAGACCAGCAACCGTTTCCGAATGTAACAACGGCAATGGTTGACATCCAACCAAGTTCGGAAACAAGGAAAAGTTCGGCCAACGATGGACAAAAAGGGGAACGAAACCAGCCAAGCCCCGAAACAAAAAAAGGAAGTCGGCCAAACAGCAGCCGACCGGAAGAACGACTCAAAGTTTGTGAGAAACCAGTCGCTGAAAAATGGGACCATCCAGACGGTTCTTTTAATGTGGAGGTGAAAGAAAGGGCGTTAGTTCGTGACCACCCGACCAGAAAAACAGGGTCAGTCGGGAACAATTGGGCTCGAAATAAAAAGCCTTTACCAGTTGATATAGATCCTTGTTTCCCAGGTATGAATCGTACACAGATTCGCAATGCCAAACGCAGGTATGCTGCAAAGTATGGGAAACGAGTTCCTTCAGCAAAACAACTAACCGACGAACAAAAAGCAGCCGACCACTTGGCAGGAGATCAGTCCATTCGGATCTTTACAGAACAAACGACCAACGAGCAGGGAGTAACCATTCAGTCTGCAGTTGGTCGGTCCAGTCGGGTCTGGTCAGGAAAGCAACCGAATGACAGATTAGGCGCTTCCGACCATACCAAAAGAAGTTCGTCGGGACTGGGGAAAGGTAAAGGTGTGGCAGATGAAATAATTAAAGGTTTTAGATGCCAACATTGTGAACGAATCAACATCAATCCATCTCTTGAAGACTTCCGTATAGAATCTTTGACGCTTCAACCTCAGAACAAGACGAAGGAAGAAGTTATAACTACAGAGGAAAGTTCAAGATCTGTTAAATCTCGTCTGGGACCACGAATCCCTTGTCGAATGACAGAGATTAATCAGATGAGTGATGAACCGACGTGGGCGAGTCTGGTAGATGAAACTATGGACGAACCTTTATGGGCTTTCTTGGCAGATGGTGAATTAGAGGAGACAGAGGGGGCAAAGACCTCAGACTCTGAGCCTCAACCGGAGCCACCTTCGATTGTGTTTCCTCCTATTCCAGAGGGTGCGATCTCCCATTTGAAGCCTCTGTATGTTAATGCTCATATTTGTGGGAAACCAATCACAAAGGTTTTCGTGGATAATGGAGCAGTTTTTAATGTTATGCCATTGAAGACTCTTAAGAAGTTAGGAAAAGGAATACATGATCTATCTCCTGTGGAATTCGAAATGACAAGTTTTACAGGGCAGCCGACCAAGCCTGAAGGCATGATGGTTGCCACAATTGAAGTCGGACCAAAGAAGATTTCCACTGTTTTCTTTATTGTGGACGCAGATACTACATACTCTCTCTTGCTGGGAAGAGACTGGATTCATGCCTCTCGATGTGTGCCATCAACCTTGCACCAACAATTAATGTTCTGGGAAGGAGATCAGGTTTTCAAAATGGAAGCGAATGACAACCCATTCGATGTATCAGAACAAGTTGAAGAGTCAGTGTTTTATGCTAGTCCTTTGGCTCCGATGTCTCAATTGTATATGGCCAGGGAATACCCAAACAAGGGTTATAAAGTCACTGGCCAGAACTCGATGTTCTATTAAAAGAACACCTTTATTGTATGGCTCATGATAAAGCCACACCCATTCCCGTATAATTTGTTTGTAATGGAAGATACAAGCTTAGAAGTATGTAGTTCTCTTATTAATAAGTTCTATTTAAAGCAGTTATTACATAAAGCAGAAAATAGTAAAGAGATTCTGGATGTTCACCTCCAAGAAGATGAACAATTTCGTTGGCCCGACTTATTAGAAAAAACAGAACCAACAGCTTCATCACAAGACCCATTATTGGAGTTTAATTTAGGAACCGAATTGGTTCCAAAAGTGATCAGGTTAAGTGGTTATTTGTCTAAAGAGCAACAAACAATGATGCTCGAAGTTATTAGAAACAACATTGATTGTTTAGCATGGGATTATTCAGAGATGCCTGGTTTGACAAGAAGTCTAATAGAGCATCGATTGCCCATCAAAGAAGGTTGTAAACCTTACAAACAACCTCCAAGG